TCTTTGTCAGAATGTGGTTGATGTCCACACGAGTTATGCTGTTAGGAGACTCACATATCCAGCAGTGGCTTTCCTCTGGAAAAACGAGCTTGCACGGAAGAGACGTGCTGCCTTATCCAGAATTTCTGATCCTGTACTCGCTGTCGTTGGCCTTTCCTATTCTGGCGTTGAAGTCTCCGACAACCAATTTATAATACCTTTTATCATTGCGGATGACTTCTTCCAACTGATAGTGGAGCGCATTTATTTCGTACTCATCAGCTATATCGGTTAGTGAGTAACAGTCGATGATAATGATATTCTTATGACGCGTTAACGAAGGATGGAGGATGGCCATGCGAGGGAAATTATCTCGTACGAGTCGGCATGATGAAGGATGGATGGGTGAACAACAATGCCTACGCCAACGATATTTTGTGACGGGAGACATTTCCTCCGGTGATGAGACAGTTCCGTTTTTTAGTTGGCGCATGTCAGCCCTCTTGCTTTTATTTCTTGCAAGCGACCAAATAGAATTTACGCAATCTGTGGCCTCGCGAAAGGCGTGAAGATCGGCGTCTGAGGAAAGTGTTCTGGTATTATACGTGCGGAGTAAGAAAAAATCATCTCCGTGACGTGTTGTGCGTGTGTTCGTCAGATACGGTTTCAGTGACGTCCTGAGTAACTCAGAATTTTGCTGGCCCTCAGAGGTTGTGTCCAGTGCCTGACGTTATAGCGCACTCAGCGTGTGGGGTAGTGAGGCTAGTTGAGCAACTTAATCTTCCCTGGCGGCTTGAGTTAGCCTTTGCAAGGGCGTTTTCAGGTCTTCACCACGGTGTGGATCCGACAGAGGTATCTTTTAAGTAGCGATTCCTCCATTAGGTCATCCTACTGGTTGGATCAGAGAAAACATGTTACTTTTGATACAGGGATTAAACCTAATACTACTACCGTAAGCTAACGAAAATCACATATGTGGTGTATATTAACGATACCCGATAAAAAAAAGCCGTGAACAAAGTTATGGGATATGATTACCTTAGTCATGAGATTACAGAGTGAAAGACAGCAACCCAGCGGCTAGACTTGTTCTAGGGAATCAAGAGTGAGGACTACATGTTCGATGTTTTCCACACAATGCCCAGTTTACCACCATAGCGCGCGACATTTACGAAAGTGGACTTTATTTCCATTTTCTCGTGTTGTCCGACAATGCCAAATAGCTGATACATTCAATTAAGAAGTTGGGAATAAAACTGATGCCGAACCATGAACAAGCAGTGTGCATGAATCGCCATAAATGGTCGTGAACTGATCATCGATCACATTGGTGCTTTTCATCCAACAGAGCTCTTACGACCACTCTTCGGAAATAATGCACCGAATCCATAGGTCCTAAATTCTAAAATAGAAAACTGCAAAATTTCGTAGTCTACATTCGTCGATTAAAGCAGTTCCCAGAATTATGCCTCTACATTCCTATGAGGATTCGAAATGAATCCTTTCAAGCGGAAGCCAAATAAGCATACCACTCCTCATTGGATGGTCTGACACGCAGTCACTTTGCCCATGCCTTCTACACGGGCAACATTTAAAACCAGTTTTCTGACCTGTTCCAGGAACTTTTCATTAAGCTCTGCTTAAATTCTCGTTCTATTAACCAGAAAGGTCTTGAAAAACCAAGCAGATGAACGAAAGAGATAAAGCCGTTTGAACGACATCCAGAACTACACGTGGTTTATAGCGATTTATTGAAAAAATATGGCCTGACCATTCTCTTGATGTTTTTTGGTCAGAAGAAATTATTCAATAAAGATAGAATAAACTTGAGGCAATACTTTTCCATTAGATATGGAGATCTACTTTGTAGAAGCATTCACCTAATGGGCAGTAATTTCGGAAAACTAAGAAAATGGCAAACCAAATGGTGGCTCAGAAAATCTGCGCCCACCACTTTTATTCTAAAGTTCCAGTGGCTTAGCGCTGCTCTACAGAAATATGGATAAGCACGTTACACATGTCGAAAGCTATTTGAAATGGTCGTTTAAAAAAGTAAAAAGAATATGGATAATATACTCATCCGACATTATGCGGAAAATAGCCGCTGTTTCCAAAATGAAAAAAAAATCCATGGATCATTGCGCTGTGTGGGGAATTGGAGAAGAAACCAAAACTGATGATAAATCAAGAGATCGAGTGCCTGATGATCTAGGAATTGCAATGGTTTCGGAGTTTTCAGTTGGGCCTATGAAAGTAGTTGGTTGACTGACTGGATGACTAGGATGCACACCTCCATAACCTGCTTAATTTCCGAAGAAAACGAAGTCCACCGAACGCTAGCTATCGTAAAACAAATATTCTAATGAAAATCTCGTGTCTGCTCATCAATAAAACGGTAAATTATTCATGATTGCTGATGTTAATATAAAGTCGAACCTAAGAATTACTGAAATGGACATTAATCTATTGGAATTTACGTTTACTAAGTGGATTCCTGAAGTGAACTTAGGCAATCAGTAAACTTCTGTCTACTGGCGACCGACCCACATATTCTACCTGGCACCGTACTTAACCGACGAATCGGAAAATTCAGGTTTTCATTATGGGAGGTGCCGTTGGTAGTGCCATACTACCTTGTCTTTCATTGTCAAAACGGAGTAATGTGATCGGCTTGATCTAAATTGTAGAAGAGAAAATAAGTATGAAATATTGATTTTGTTCACCGTTGTGAGTAGAACATACATTTCCCGGCCTTCTGTGTTACCTCGTTCGACAGTGAGCTGTTCTCACCAATGTTTTCGATGGGGTTACCTGTCACCTGTCACCGACGTTTTATTTACAATGACAATGAAAAGCAAAATTCTATATTTAAGCTCTTCTCTACCGTGAACTGATGGGGTATGAGGAAATGGGGACTTAGATTTATTCGGTTTCCCACATTTTTTTTATACTATGCACAATCACTCATTTTTTGTTCTGACTTCGACCGGAATGTTCAAACAGACCTCAACATAGTTATTGCTGGTTTTCGTTATACTTGATACGTTGCGAAGTGATCTATCAACGGTCACTCATTCACAAACGCTGCTAGTAACAAGTGGTTGGTGTGAGTGTCATATCTCTCTCTTTACTCTTCATTTTCTTTGAAAGTACCGCACCACCGAACAGTTTTACAATTCCTTTTGCGAAAACCACTACTTTCACTCCTTTTTCGGCCTAGGGATTGCTTCACCTCCACAACTCACAACGTGTAAAAATAGTAAGCTTATCGGCGCCGTCAGAAAAGTTTCGATCCCGAAAAATATTTGGTCCTTTGATATTAGTTGCTGTTGTGTTTGTGTGTAGCCACTTATATGGAGGCTTTTCAGAACCAACAACATGTTTCTCACTCGTACGACATCCCATAAAAATATTCGCCATTTGCTTAAAGGTGGTCTTCGACATATTTCCACAGCACCATCTTCTAATGAGTAAGTCTAACACCAAGTCATACACTAAAGTGTCAATATGCTAAAAATTTCCCGGTATTCGAACTAATTGTGTGGGCAGTCAAGTGAGTGCCGATGCTTTTTGGGCCCAAACTTTATATAATTCCAAGTATAGTTAAGTTCTTAATTTCACACTGAATCCACATTGCTCACTTAAAAGTTATTTTTGTGGTGACTTTATTAGCCGTTTGTCAACTACCCCATAGACAACTGCTACCCCGGACCACCGCACCGAACCACTTTGTTCCAACTGCGTGCGCTACAAGCAGAAATCTCAGTTTGTTGGAACGCTCTTCATCGCAAATATGTAGTAAAATGGCGTCGTCCAGCACCGGTTTTCTGAACGCCTAAATGTAATAGGTACCGTTTAGGGAGAAATGGTTGTTCGCGGCAAACATGTTTGATTAAATAGCTCGTAGATTTTTTTTTAGGACACATTTCTTTATAGCCTGTGGTAACCTAATATATCTCTCCATAGGTCTCTCACAATTCATTCAGAAATTTAAGCTTATGCGAATACAATTAACTACCAACTTATGCCTTTTATGAGGGAGCTACGTTTCATTACCAATTCAAGGTCGCTAAGAAGTATGACCATCGGAATAGCGCGCAGTCTTCGTCGTAACTTTTTCATCTCGCTAAATCCAGTCCGATCAATCACAGTTTTCTAAGACAGCGCCAGTAAATTGAAACCCTATTAAATTGAAATATTTGGTCAAAGATGGCTTAGTGGACACATTCACACTTTCTGTAGACTGTCAGGAGGCGACCTAGGTTTTCTCCGTTACTTCCTTCAGTCTGCACCATAGTCAAATGTTTTGGTCTACGTGACGAGATAGATGAATTCTGTAACGATTCACAAGTATATTTAGTAATTTATGAAGTATTGAGTATTTCGATGTTAATGATTTCGTTCATGTTAACAAAGGCCTCTTTTGTTGTTTTTGTTTAACATTGTTACCACAGCTCTACAGAGGTGATGCGAGAAGAACCGCTGAATTTGTCAGCATCAGTAATCTAAAACCATAACTGTTTTTGTGCTATTCTGACATAATCTTTTTCCACTCTTAACTTAATTAGTCATTAAACAATTTAAACAGTCACAAGTAGTGATATTTCCACTCGTGTCTACCGTACGCCAGGTACGCTCGTGGGCTGCGCGAGATAGGATAACACAGTGAGCGCCACACATTTCCATAGCATGACGACTTAATGTACAACAGTTTTCCTGGGGCTTTATCTAAACTTTGTATTTTGACCTAATAGAATTTTTTTCGATGGAATTGTCGAACTATTTTGAGACATATTACTAGCGAATAAAAAAGAGTTCTTTCAAGGTGATTGATAACGAAGATAAAATTTCCTTCAAGTTTCCTCTGTATTAGGTGGAAGAATCCTTCATGGATATCTGTACGTCGTAAACAAATTGGATTTTACGCCCTTGACAACGGTTGAAAAGTTTTTGATTGAATAAACAGTCGTATAGGAAAACCTTAAAATCCGATATTGCTTAGAAAACCGCAAGAATTTGACATGGTCATCGCGGGCGGTGGTATCGTTGGTTGCGCCACAGCAAGGCAAATGAAGGTGGAATACCCAAATTTGGAGATATGTGTGGTAGAAAAGGAGGATAGATTAGGTTAGCACGTTGCACACGCTATTTAAATCTTTTTATTTTATTTTTTCTTGGATAGATAATATTTAATATGCTATATTTCATCGGCTGTTGCCGGTTTTTTTAATTGGACATGCTTGATTTCCATACGTTTGAAGAAATATATCCTTTTCAATGTAAAAATTAGTCCTTTCTAAAATCATTGCAGCCCCTAGCCAGCACAAGAATTACCTATAGAAGAGTTATGTGGTACATGGTTCTCACTTCGAGGTGAATCGAGCGTAGGTTTTAAGTAGCGATTGAATGCATTCGACGACTTCTGCTTAGGTGATAAGATCAGGGGTGCCTGTAGGGACAAGTAAAACTATTAATATATTCACACTATCGAAAAGCTTCGGATGAAAGTTATCTCTGTCGTGTTTTCGCACTTACAACGAAAGTATCCGAGCGGTTTTATGAAAACGTGGTGGACAAGATATGATTATTTTGATACTGCCCTCAGTTGAAATCTTAAAGGAGCTTAGGACCACTTTGTATTTTCATACATACTTTGACGAACGCTTTCAAGTTCTCAAGAAATTCAACGAAGTGTCATCGTGCTGGTGAATAATCCTTGGTCGAAAAGGCAGAGAAACAAATATTTTTTCATACTTTTTTATTTTATTTGACCCATTTTCACGTCTACTGCGCGGATTCCAGCACTTCTCACTTTCGATTCGTTTCGTCGCACCCACTGTCCACGAAAATCGTCCAACCTTACGTGTGGCTTCGGTTGCTTTTTGACGATTTTCATTTCATTTTGAATGTCGTAGAATGCCGGTCGATCATTTCTTCCTGGAGTCCTGGAATATCTGGGCTGGAGCGTTCCCAACTGGATTGTAGAGAATGGCTTTTTCGCAGACAAGTCCGGTACCAACTTTCCGAACACGGAGGGTTGGGAGGCTTGGTTGGCCCGGAGCGGAATCGTAATGATGAATGTCACTACCGCTGTGCTATCCGCCCCGTTCGAGACATAAATAAAAGAAAAATTCTAAAAATGATAATCGTTGAAGAGAAATAATTAGCACTGAGAGGCTATAGTCGCTGTGGAATGCGATGATGAATATATTTTAAAAAATAGAATATTCTTAAAGGGGTTCATCAGACTGGAAGAAACAGCGGTGTAATTCACGCGGGAATCTACTACACACCAGGAAGCTTGAAAGCGAAACTATGCGTCGAAGGCAATTTTGTTTTTATTATTTCTATAGAAAAATCATGCAATTACCGATCGAATGTTTTGTTGTGCCAGGCATGGACCTTGCATACAAATTTTTTGAAAAAACCAATTTTCCACACAAGAAGACAGGAAAGTTAATCGTAGCTGTTGAGCCGGACGAGATTCCTCGGTTAGATGTAGGTGTTCTCCATCTGATTCTTCTTTTTTGATAATATTTAACGGGACTTCTGAGTTTGATACCATCGCTTTTTCAGATTTTATATGAAAGATCTCAAAAAAATGGTTGCAAAGATATCGAAGTAATCGAAGGTTCTCGAATAAGGGACTTTGAACCGCACTGTAAGGTGACTTCACATTGTTCATCATGGAGTCTGGAGCGAACAGTCGGCTTGACATTGCGAAAAATTTTCAACTAATTATATTTGCAGAATGATGAATACTTTATAATTTTCGTAGCTTATAATGATGCTATTTACGGAGCAATGCTTTAAATGTTCTCCAAGTTCTCATAAAGTTCTGCCTTGCAGGGTCTTAAAGCACTTTGGTCACCGCATACAGGGATTGTGGATTGGGAAAAGGTGGCGAAAGCTTTCGCTACAGATTTTGAAAGGAGAGGTGGAACTGTAAGTCTGATTGAATATCATGGGTTCTTCTGTTGAAATGTTGATGTTCGTTGAATGTATGACCACAATAATTTCAGGTTTATGTTAGCTTCCCAGTCGTGAATATCTCTGGATCGCCAAATCCATCATTTCCCATTGCCCTTCAATCAGCCGAAGGGAATGTAAATTTTGGAGTGATGATTGCTGCGTTTTTCACCTAAATAACGAAAAGAAAACAAGTTCTTTACCATAAAATACCATCAGTGCAGATTCTTTGGCAGTTTAATCTTGAGCATTGTCCACCTGGGTAATATTTCTCAGTCGCCTTTGCCCTCCTTATTTTAATCACTATATCGATGGGAATTATCAGCAAAATTACTGTTTTCGCTCGAGCATTTCAACTTGTTACTGCTTAAAGGTTTCAGTGTCAAATCCACACTCGCCATTTGATTACTTGCTGCGGACTACATTCCGATCGTGTAGCACAACTTACTGGATGTGACCCTAACCCTAAAATCGTTCCTTTCCGAGGAGAATATCTACTTTTAAAACCCGAAAAAAAGCATCTTGTCAAAACAAACATATATCCTGTGAGTTCTGATGCTGTTTGAGTTTCCTGCACATTCTGTTCATAAAATTTGCTTTGGAATACCATTGTATGAGAAAATATAGGAATTGGATTCTAATCCCATTCTACATAGATTGAAAATGCTTGTTTCGAAATTCACATTGGTAAATACTAATCATAACTAACGCGAATTTTGATCGAGCCTAAGATTAAAGGTCTGAATAGTCATTTCGGTTAAGAGTTGGTACAAATTCCATTTCGATCGATAAAGTGAACCGTTACAGGTACCCACACCAGGTCTGCCATTCTTGGGAGTGCATTTTACTCCGAGAATGAATGGAGACATTTGGTTAGGTCCGAACGCCGTATTAGCATTTAAGCGAGAAGGATACAGTTACTTTTCAATTTCTCCGTCAGATCTTTGTGAATCCCTCAGATACAGGTTTGTGACTGTTAAATACATTGCGTCACAGTGTCATTTTGTTTGGAACTGGAAGTACTTGACTTCAAAGCAAGCATTTCACGACCACGTAAATTTATGCCAATGGTCATTTATCCTGTTCTATACTCCAGAATTTCTCCCATTAAGTTCGTTGCCTTAATTTTGCCATCTACAACGGTCTTCACACTTGAGCGTAGTTTCAGCTGCCAATTGAAGGCTTTGTTCTACTAACGAACTTTATTGAATACCGATAGAGCCGATTCCCTTTGTAATCGTGGAAAAAACATTTCTACTTTAGCGTAGACCGCAAAAGCAATTTGCTGCCTTTTTGAGTTATGGCATACTTTTCTCAGACGATTATGATACCAATTTGCCGAAATGAGGAAGAATGGAAATCTGGTTGGTCCGGAACGGGGCCAAATCAGCGACCATGAGTGTTCTGCATAGGTAGTTAGGTTAATTTACCTCAATGATTTTTGTAATCCGCGGAGTCATCATAACTTCGATGGTGATCACACGTTGGGAATCATGATATTAAGCGGCAGTTTGTATATCCATTCAGCAAGCTCTACCAAGCAAAGAAGGTGTACAATGTTTCTATCCGAAAGTCAGTCAACAGTAAACCTATGATATAGCAGTCTTGAGGCGAATGTAGTGCAGTGGTTAGAGATGCCTTGCGATACACATGGATTCGATTTCAGCACCCTGGGTTCACGAAGCCTTTCATCCTTCCCTGGTCGACAAATTGCTGCAAGACATGCTTAGGAGGATAGTAACACTGATTTCATACATTGCTAGCTCACCGCGAGCCAATTTATAGGTCTTATACGCACTCATCCAGGTTTACGGATGCGTAATGAAATTGAATACATAGCATGGCACCCACCTTCTTAGAGATTGATCAACGCCTTACGCTTCATTCCCTATCCCTTATTCATTATACTGAAGTCCGGTGCCTGCCAACCGCCTCATCGAGGCTGAGAGGTGTTCCTGGGTATCAGGCTGTGATATGCAGCGGTGGATTCATACACCTAGTGGGATTTCCCAAGTTGAGAAGGAGTCCGACGCTTTTGTAGTTGCTAGTCGAAAATAGGCCTTCGAGTCAGTTCTCGGCACCCAGTAATCACTAGCTTTTAGCAGAATGCTCGACTTCGTGAATAAATGCCACGCGGGACTTTTCGTAGTAGTCACACGGCAATACCTCAAACTTGGGTAATTAAACCTTTATATACATAAATGCAACAATAATAACATAATAGTAACTATAGAGAAGTAGTGGTAGAGGAATGAGACAAGTTAGAGCTCTGAGGTGCTAAGGCCTGTAGTGAAGTGAGGCTAACAATGAGGCAATAGCATTCAAACATTGTAATACCATTAACACAATATTAACAATAATAATGAGATTATAACGAAGTAGCCTTTGCTTAACCGTAAGCGATGCCGCGCCGCGTCTATTCGCGGCCGGCGCGGCGGCTGAGGGAGACAGTATGCTGGGGGCGGAGGGAGGAGACTGTATGCCGCGGAGATGGAGACAGTATGCTGAGGTGGTGAGGGTTACAGACTGTCCGTGTTTCGGCCAAGCTAAGATTTCAACATTACAGCGATGAGGAGCATTTTAGTTGATCGATGAGGACTGTAAGTTACATGAGTGTTGACGGTGCTATGGACAGTGAATGATGAGTCATCTACGGAACTCAGTCAGGCGGCTGGTCGTGAATAACGCTATGTCAGCAACGTGAACTTTGAGCATCGATGGGTGCCACCATTGCCTAAGGGTAAGGGCCAGTATGATAAGTGGCTACAAAACTGATAAGCCTATAGCGGCTTAGCAGAATATGTAGCATAAGTTGGCCGCTTAGCGGCATTGTACACATTGCGTGCACATTGTGGGAGGAATGGTACATGCCACCGATGGCGTTGCAAACAGAACGCATTTGGTAACACCCGCCACTACTGACATCGCACCCTAGACAAGCTGAGAAACAAGATACAATAATCTGCTGATTACTGAGGGATGAATGTGTGTATGTATGAGTGTGATTGAATAAGAATGAATGACTATGACTAAGAATGAGTTGAGGTGATTGAGGATGATTGAGGATGTGGTTGTGAGGGGCGGATTATCCGCGCTACCGATCGTGGGTAAGGTGAGTGATGGCATGTCTCCGCCTTCGAAGGCACCTGGCTTATATCGGCTGCGGGAGTCGCGAGCGTATGCAACCGCGGTTAATCTGGATTGTTGATCCTCGACCGCAGAAGACTGTACCTAACTGCCTGAAACATCAAACGTCATTAGCTTCGTTGTTTCGCAAGCAAGTAGTAAGCTGTTCTATGGTTACGCCTTCTTCGGATAAGCCATCGTTGGTATGCTACTGAAGTCAAACCTGAGTCGCTATTGAGCCTGAAACATTGAACATAATTGATCCTTAATACTGAAACATACAGTAGTAGAAAGATACAAATATATAGAAAGAAATAGAGACTATTCTGGGAATAGTTGCTATAGACGCTTCCATTAGGACACCCAGCTAAGAGTAAACCAATACTAGGATCCACCACCGTCCTGGTATCAAACCAGTCACATAATGGCAAATCGTCCTCAGATCGACAAGGACGGCGACTGTCTGTGGTGGTGACGACCTGGAGCATACCTTGACCTGGCTGTCCTCTGGACTCCAGGGAACCACGATGGATAGACCAGCAACTCTCCAAAAATGAAAATTATGCTGAGGCCCTCCCAACCATCGAAGGCGGGCCATCTAAGTATCCAACTAAGTAAGGACTCCGGTGAGCCACTCCTTTAACATTCCCGTTAAAAAAGCTGAGAAGGCGTCATAGCTGAAGTGTGGTTTTCTTTATGTCTGTTGAGTAAACAGGGTTCCGCTTTACTGTGCAGCTTAGGATCACGTACCGTAGGATCGTATCTGTATAATGCTGGTTCATTATCGTTATAACAGCAGATTTTATCGAGAAAAATATGTTCATTGGTCAAATACTTTTAAAATAGTTGGTTTCAGTCTTCTGCTACGCAAAATTCCTTGTGGCTTCTGCAGTTTGGTAGTCAAAACTTGGACATTTAAACCATTGCGCAAGTACGATCTATTACAAACTAGGGCTGAACGATGTATATTGAGCTAAGAATGTTGCCCTGACGAGATGTCATGCATGAGATATGAATATATTCTAACCTGATAGAGAGCTGGTGCGAAGGAGATGAAATTGTTACTTGTCTAAAGAGACAGAGAATAATCTCTAAAAAAGAAAGATTCGACTTTAGGCTAGAAGGCTCTTCGATGTAATATTAGAATGCTTTTAAAGAAATGTGGATGGCATTTACTTTCCTATCAGTTGATTGCATTCCTTTGACCAAACTGACGTGCACACATATATAAGCACACTCGCACATGCGTGCATAAGTATAAATAGGAATCTCAATAGGCACACTAGAAACAGGGAGTTAATCTTTTGAACCCACCTGTGTCTCAGCAAAAATACAGAGTAATTTTCATTCTACGTTCACATGTTACCTATGGAAACCACTTCATCAAAACAATGAAGTCGCGCGAGGACCTGCTTCCCCGTTCGGAAAGAATGAGTTGGTTGATTGGGACGATTTTTCCATGAGCACCATTATGAGTTTGTAAATTGTTTCGGAGCATTGGCAATTAGTGAGAAAGTATTGGTGTAATAAAACAAACTCAAAGGCTAGATAACGAAGTCTAGCATCGACATGCAAGTAGCCAATTTAGCAAGAAGAGCAGGAATTCAGAAAAAGAATTGCATAGGGAAGAAACTTCACTTTTAGCCTGTTCAGATTATTTGCATGGTGGGAAGATTTAAGCAATATTTCGACGGGATGCTTCGCTTGATTTTAAATAGACAGTACAAAGTTGATTATAAACAAGATGCAATAAAGATTAATCGACCAAGGTCACTGCTTTGATTGCTTTCCTTTGAATTCTTTGGAGCAGATTTCTTTATTTCTTTATTTTCTTTGGAAATAGTCGATGTGAACCTGTGCGATGGAATAGAGAAACGAAGCGTTTAAACTGATTATCCATTGAAAACTGTCGATGATGGAGATGTGTGCTGCGATTGTGTAAACGAAGGAAATGCTTTGTGGGAAAAACATCAACGGTTCGCATTAGTAGTCGCTGACTGACCTTTCCAGAAAATTATTACACGACTATTTTTTCTGAATCTGCAATGTAATCTAATCCAGTAATTCATAGTATCACGCTTTTCAAGAAAGGTATTTTCTTAAAGACACATAGCTTTGGTACAACTACTATCCTTCAAGGAAGGAAATGTTGTTATCTAAAATGTGGACGAACAACGTCTAAAATGACGAGACAGAATGTTTTGCGATTACGTTTTAGAGGTCTCAGAAAGTTGATGCTGAAGTACTTCAAGTATGGATTAACGGAATTCTATCGTGGTGTTTGGATTAACGCGCAAGTGAAGCAGCTGCAACGATTTATACCTGAATTAAAGCTAAGCGATGTAACGAGGTGAGTGCTGCGATAGTTGATTTGGGCCTGGCACCTGCTCCAAGATTTTCCTCAGTAAGAGCATTTCATATGAAAAATACGACTTGTGTTTATGTAGAAGGCAGCCGAATGACATTTTCGAAGACAGCTACAAGAATTTTATGATTTTTTATGTATTCAGAGGACCTGCTGGGGTGCGTGCCCAAGCGTTAGACCTACAAGGAAACCTCATTGATGACTTCGTGTTTGGAAGCGGAACCGGTCCGGTCAGTACCCTTACGTGTGGCATACAAAAAGTCGCAAAATCATAAAATAACGTATAATATTAGAATGCCTGGCACTGTTAGTAGGTGAAAAACGTAACAACGAAAACGTGGGATCATACTAGCTCATTCTTTTGCTTTTATCTTAGACCTGTGATGGCTTTGTTAACTTGTACCTCAACATTGGGTGATTAAATCTTATATGATTATAAATGCAAAGCGCAATCGATGAATGCAGAAAGTTCGCGTATGAACAACTACCGTGTTTAACATTCATTTGAGACTATTCAAGTCATAACAGCTGCAGTGAATAGCAAGGCAACTTACGTAGCGATAACATGGCTTATCGGTGAATGATTCATTGGAAAACAGCATCCAAAAAATCAGTTTCATTAAAAAGAATGTGGAGCGACAATCAGACAAGAGAAGAAGAGTAAGTCAAAGTTTTTTAAAGTTAGCAGACTGTGGGTGGCTGTTGTAAAGGCAAGGCAGGCGTGTGTTTGTGTTAGATGTGTTTTAACCTAGACCGCAGTATCTTCATACGGTTTGGTCTAAGCAGATGCTGTTGTAGTAGATAGAACAGTTAAAACTCTTTTCTCAACCACGGTTAAAAAAATACGTAAAATCGAATTATTGGGGAAAAATGTTCCGCCTTCATTACCTTTATTTTTATTTCACTTTTATCTACGAACTGTTTTTGTCTAATTCTTGCTAGTAGATTAGAATCTCTACTTTTCAACGTAATTTCCCTCCACTATGGTAATGATGTCTTTGGATTTTACAATGCATGCAGTTGATTGACTCTCTGAAACCTGTGTTTACGTTTTTTTAAACATAATAAAGGCTCTGAAGTAAGAGATTTAAAAAAAACATCTCATGCGCCTTGTGGCTAAATGAGATATTTATGCAAGATATGAGCATTTTTTTATCCCTCTATGAGCATCTTGACTGCCAGCTTCTCGTCGAAGTATGTTTGTTCTGCAGAGAATGGTGTTATCAGACCAAGTTCACGCCTATTCTACATAACGTAAATTTTTTGCAAAGACGAGTTCGAAATCCGATGCTGTTTCAGCTGTCGAAACAGGTGCTACATGTTCGCAATGCACCGTCTCCAGGAGCTACATCGAGTCTAGCCATTGCGAAAATGATCGCCAATGAGGCGAAATCGAGATTTGCTCTTTAGTCTTGTCGATAATTTCTATGATTTTGTCGAAAACTCCATGTAGAGTGAAGAGCACATTAGAGATTTTTAATACTATTAGTGATATGATTTGTTAGGTTAATGACTCACCCTCACATTTGTCTTTACATATTCGATTACTCGGCTTCTGAACGTGTTCGCTTTCGTCGTGCACACAAATCATTCGATTCTGACCTCACTTCTAACTCTGTGCACATTTTTGGTATGAAAAATGCATTATTTAGAAATAATGCAAACTAATTACAACTTATAGCAAGTACAGCAGACAACGTTGCACCCTTATCTCATGGGATCTAAAAATTAATGTGTGGATCAACGTTGAGGTGTACTGTATGGCATTGTTTGGTTAAAGGTTTCCCTCGAATAAATACGAAATTGATGTTTTTTGGATACTTGAATACTTGGATGATCTGACGGCTCGTCATCACTGGTTCTGCGAATCTCAGCACAGTTTTCGTTATTTCTCGGAGTTTTGCTGGTTTAGCCATTGCGTTTTTCTGAAGTCCCTAAGTCGGTCTGGCCAAAGTCTGCCCCAGGCCTTCACAATCACGGGCAGTTGCCGCCAATGTGGATCAGAGGAGATTTATCACCATGCGACTAGTTTGATACTAGGACAGTGGTAGATCCTGGTATTGCTTTACTCTTAGCCGGGCTTTATGGCTTCAACGCCAGACTCTTTCTTAGCTTGGTGGACCCCTAGCTGGGAAATGAATGCCTTCGCTGTGCATTGCAGCCCGACAACCAGTAACACCTCTCAGCCACGATGAGGCGGTAAATCGTTGGAAGGATTGATGTCATTAATCTCATCGACTGCAAAAAACTGCATAAAAAATTCCGTAAACCTATCGCTTTTTAAATTTTTTTTATTAGACCTTAAATTTCAAACGATGCGAAGCCGCCAAGAACTGAGCCACCCTAAGCCGTAAGAAAGGTTTACCTCTCGCTTGGACCTCACAATTCACTTGGTCTGTTGAGTAGGCACGGTATGCTAACATAGAAGGAGAGAGGAGAGAATAATAAAATGTGAGGAGATTTAAAGGAAGGAAAAACTCTGTTGGAACATGTTTGACAGGTTCTAGCGAGATAACTGGCCCCAAAAGTCAAAACGATTCCGACATAGTAAGCTATTATGCCTTGTAGTAAATCTTACGACCGACTTTCTGTTAATCTCGGCATTAGCTGAACAGTTTTTGTGCTCTTCTTTACCAAACACGAGGTGTTATTTTATTTCTTTATTTGCGTTTAAGCTGAAGTTTCGGCGGATTTCACCTTCCTCGGAGCCTGGAAAGATCAAGTTAGCCACAATCTACCCAGCCTCCATAACCAAACAAAGATAATGCTGTACCAAGATTTCAATCACTTTGAACACAGAATAGCTTCTTTGCACACTCATCGCCTCCTATCGGTCTTCCACAGAATACGCCACATGGAGACCCATCACTGTTTGGTTCTTCGAAAAGAATTCTATAGAAGGTCTTCTAATTTCGGATTATTTTCTTCGAGTAATTACGCGTCTGCTTCGCTCTTATGAGAATCAGAAGTTGAGAACCAACAGCTGCAAACATCGTTTCTCTATTCCGCTAAGTTGAAGATGGAGGATGATCACAGGTATGAGTGGATGATAATACTTTTGATCCCTTGCGGTAATCCTACTTCCTGCGATAAGAAATGCGCTAATTGGTTCATTGTTCTTGAGCTACTTGTTTTTTTTGGAAGGCGCCGAAGCGGCTTTAATAGGAAGTTCTAAGGTTCTCATCACAGGAAGTTCGCATTCTCGCATTTTATTCTAGGACGACAAGTGATTAAGGCGTTGGTTATTTTTAACAAGCAATATGTCGAACTCCCGATTCTCTTGAGCGATCCTCGTAGGAAGATGATCCCCCGTTGTATGTCGTTGTCTTACGTTAAGTTGTAATTCCTCCACCAGTCACTATGAAAAGGTAAAGACTCTTCGGGGTAAAAGCATACCATTTCCGAAATATTTAGCGAATAACTATATAAATATATAAGGTATATCGTGTGCCATAAACCACACACATAGGTCTACATAGTGCAGATATAAAGTTAACTCGGATGGCTATCTCACGACATGAATATACGAATATACATACATGGTGTCAACACGGCCAGTAAAAATGAAATTTTTACTATGGTTTAGGTTTAGCTTCCAATAGTTCACACTGCTTAGATACTTGGATGTCCCGTCCTCACTGGTTGTGCGGGCAACACCATAATCTCCCTTCTTTCGAAGCTTAGCTGGTTTAGCCATTGTGGTTTTCTGAAGTCACTAGGCTAGCCAGACCAAAGTCTAGTCCAGGTCGTCACCACCACAAGCAGTCGCCGCGCTTATAGATCAGAGAAAGATTTGCCACCATACGACTAATTTGATTCAAGGACGGTGGTAGATCCTGGTATTGGTTTACTCCTAGCTAGGCTTCTTGATGGAAATGTCGGACCCTTTCTCAGCTTGGGAGACCCTGTTGGAGGAATGAACCCCCACACTGTATATCGCAGTCCAACACCCACCAACACCTCCCAGCCACGATGAAGCAGACGGTAAACCGTTGGGAGTATATTTCACATTAGTCCACCATTTTCTAAAACTTATTTTTCTTTGAAACGCTAGCCACTGTCAGTTATCCCATAAAAACCACACTGAACATCTCCGACAGTTTCAGTACTTGCCACAAAAACAATGAGAAGTTATAAACGATAACTGTTCGAGTGTTCCTGTTATTACTTGACGGTATCAATCCTAGATGTTGCTCTCATTCTTAATTCATGATTGTTGAGATGAGTATACCTTATTTCACTTCGTAAGTTTCGCCATAATGGTCACCGTTCTACTCACTCTTCTTCAAGTATACATTGTGCTTGGTGAGATTTTACATAATTAACTACTTTACTAAATATATGGGAATAATCTTATTGATCGCCGATTTCTCGTAGGTCAAGCCAGTCACACATGTGAGGACGAACAGGATCCAACTATCCTTCCCAAATCCAGTTATTACGCTACTTTGAGATTTTGTAACCTTCACATCTCAATGGAACCAATAAAAGGTCTGCCCGAAATACAGGTAAGAGTGAACTTCGTAAAAGTCACATAGGTTTTGGCTTTATTGAAATTTATTCTCAACTTGAAACATCTGTACTACCTTCCTCAATGTTGGTCGTCAAATGGTTTGATTGACACTAACTTTTCAATCGTTCTTTCGGGCACATTACAATTCTCATAGGGTCAACTTAGTCCCAAGAATGATCTTTACTGCTCGCTACTATCCTTGTGTGGATTCCTAAATGATTACAACTTTAACGAGCTTTTTTTGCAGTACCACAGCTGTACGTATTCTGCTCGCAGGGGGTTATTCTTTAAATGGAGCGACAATTCTCTCGCCGTTGTAGTCCCATATGAATCCACTTACGTAATAGGGATGTAGGTATTCATAAACATGTTACAGTTTTTGGGTAACCCTATTAACTGCTCTGTTTTTTTTCGTTATGACTATCGTTTTCAGCGTTCCAGTAGACGAAGTTCTGGAGGGTAAACGCGCAAATGCAACAGTGGAGATGAGCAGTAATAATGTGTTCAGATTTATTGGACTAACTGCCAAGACACACCCACAAACGTGCCATCGTCTCCCAAAAGAGGTGGCGTCGCTGAACTCTAACAAGTAATTAGAAGCGGATAAACAATCAAACATGGATACACGTGCATATCCGCCATAATAATGCTATGGGTAATAACGAATACTAAAATTATAACCAAATCGATGCTGGTAAATATAGTAGTAAAGCTTTTAGCGTTCATTCAGTAAATATAGTAGTAAAGCGTTGGCACATTTCTGAGGGATGCGCCAAGCGCAAGACTCCATTGATAACATCACAAAGGTGATAGACAGCACATTTCGCCTACATAGTGACTTGTGATGCCTATCGATGTATCAAATCAGTGTTTTAGAGAATTTAGTGTGTTTTGTCTGTTACCTACCTTGATACCTGGACAGGTCGTCTTCACGATTCATGCGAACCTCAGCACATTCTCCATTCGTTTCATTCGCTAGCCTTCGTCGTCTATGGTGGCGGTTTGACACGAGTATGGTGTTGGATAGGAATGTCACACCATGATCTGTCAAACAACTGCAGCTGCGAGTACAGCTGATTGACCTTAGATACGAACGTGCCCGCCCAACATGTAGATGGTTGTCCTAGGGGTCCATTTCATCCACGTGTAGCATCCAACTTTGGAATATTTTAATAATGATAGATATAATAACGACATTGTCAAAATAACTCAAAATACCAACTTTCTATAAACCTCAGCATAGATAGTTGATATATTTATTTATATGATCTTAAAAACTGATCTTTAGCTGATGCGAGGTTGGTATAGGCCTTCGCTGTCGTTGTCGTTGCTGTTGGTGTTCTTGGTCGATGGCCGTCGTTTCGGCGATTTCGCTTTCCTTAGAGCCTGGACATATTTTATACAACAATAAGTCAATAGTTCGGTGGAAAAACCATAGTATTAATGAAGATCTAATATGTAAATAAGCTCCATATTGATCTAAAACTGCTCACCGTGCTGCTACCAGTGAGACCATCTATTGGTTGTTTACTGGTATGACGAGCAAGGTTCACCGAGATCAAAAAATCGTTTTGAAATAAGGCGCCAGATCATGTGTGATAGTGAGACATTCGCCTTTGCAGTTCATCTTTGGATATTTGGAATTTATCCAAAACGCCTCAAAGGTCTTGCGCGTTGATGTTTTTGATTCCTGCGCCAAGATCCAGAGAATCATTTCAAAATCATCTCCATTGTGCTTGTGTGCCCTATGTGTACCTAGAGAAGTGCTTTGACTATTTATAACCTTCCCATCTAGATGTTCTTTTATGCGGACACAAAGCAGTCTACCTGTTTCCACAACTCATTCCTCACCGCATACCTTACAAGAGACAAGTATATTCTACCTGGCCTCATGCAATTCCCGTCTCTCCCCTTAGAACAGACCACACAATTTTTTGAACTGCACAAACGACCGTAGAGGCAGTCCTGAGCTAAGCGACGGCGGAGGGTATTGAATAGTAGGTCAAATCCGCCACATAATTTTTCAGACCACTTTTTCTTATGCACCTCTTAATGGAGTAATGTATTTCATCCAGCACGAAGAGTAGCTTGAAGGGATCTTACCTAGGTTAGAAACATTATTTTGGAGAACAACCATACGATTTTATCCGTCTTTGGTTTTGTCTACGATTGTTGAAATAATCGTAATAATAAAAAGCAATAAAACGTGCATTGATGATGTCATTCCCACTCATCGAGATGTGGGGGTGTCGATTTCAGAACAAATTTATCTGTTATGCACTGACGGTCAACCAAACGCTGATCCAAACCGTGTACGAGTTCCGCAATCTTTATATGTAAGTGTGTAGTTTAATCACTATTTGGTATTTGCATGTAATAAATGAGCATTCGAATTGTGCTAAAAAAGGCTCCTCAGTTTTCCTTTGCATGAGTTCGGCATATTGCACGTGTACAATATGATTCGGTCTTTTGAAAGAATAATTTTGTACAATTTGTAGGATTGAAGACGAGGTAACAATTCCGCTACCTTCACAAGGTGTCTATGAGCCAGTATTAGGCTCGTATGTGACAGAGGACGGTACGAGTCATGTATGGGTTCGTGTGGCTCATCTTGCTATTCTTCTTTTTATGTTTCTAGTGAGAGGTTTTCGAACTATGTAGATATAAAGGATAAGTGATGAAGCGTCCAGTGTTGATCAATCCCTCAGGGAGGCGCAGTTCATTGTACTTCATTAAAAAACGTAGAGGTGATTGAATTCGTATCTGGCCTATTTACTGCCTAGCGATGTCTTACCTATCTATCACGTTAGTGCTACTTTCTTCCCACACAACTCTGGCGCCAATTTTTCGACACTGGAGAAGTGGAAGCCTGAGTGAAGTTGAGACGTGACATCGAACCAGCAATCACTTATATATCAGGGGGCATTTCTAACTACTGCTCTACGTGCGCACTGTACATATGCATGTGCTTATTTTCATCTATTTATTTGTTTAATGAAAGAAAGAGTGCAGTGCACTACAGTGAAATAGGACACGCTTACATAAAAGCGTTTCCTTACCAGTCTTTTCCAACCCACTCCGAAGCTTGGATTTCGTTGAGAAGTGAGGTGAGCTCGCATTGGATCTGTCGCAAGCGTGGAAAAGTACAGAAGAACAATACACCCATGAAAAAGGTCTCCGATGGGTGCAGCTCTCCAGGGACTACAAAGCACAGCTATATTTTGTTCACTAGTAGAAATTCTCAAATTATACACGAATATGAATGTAGTCATCACTTTTTTACTTAACGGAAGAACTCTCTGTAACTGAATAATTATCCAAAAAAGTGGTTTGCCTCCGGCCCTATGATTAGACGTAACCAATAAAGGCTTCCCGAGTATCAGACCACAATTTTTTCACAAACTTAAAACGGATTCTAGTTCAATACTGTCTTGAACTTGCCTAGTGTTACCTAATTTCATTCATAACATTTTTGAACAGATTTGAATTTTTTTTAGATAATGCACCGTTCGAGAGTATTTTATAACATTAATATTGAGCAGTACATGAAAATCGGTAAAGCTGCAGTGGAGGCACATCGACTGGAATATGTGAGAAATCGTTTTTAGTTACACACACATATAGTATCATATATTTATATGTATAATATCGATTACATATATGTATATAAATCCTCCCATTGGTTTACCACGTCATCGTGGCTGAGAGGTGTTCCTGGATGTCGGACTGCAATGCACAGCGGAGGATTCATACCGCAGCAGGGTCTCCGAAGCTGAGAAGGAGTCCGGCTGTTCCACCAAGAAGCCCAACTCAGAGTAAATTGATACCAGGATCCATCACCGTCTTTGTATCAAACTAGTCGCATGGTGGCAAACCTACCTCTGATCCACAAAGTAGGCAACTGCTTGTGGTGGTGGTGACCTGGGGCAGACTTTGGCCACGTTGACCTCGAGACCTCAGGGAATCACAATGGCTAAACAAGAAAAACTCCGAAAAGTGGAAATTTTGATAGGGCCACCATTACCAGTGAGAGCGAGCCGTCCAAGTATTCAAGTATATATATATATATTTATTTATTTATATACACTTCCACGGATCTCCCTCATATGAAGGATCTCGAGCCGGTTAGTCGCGAGGCTTCGTGGCACGTCTCCAAGTGGTGGATAGGGAGTTAATCGCGGACCAAAAGCTACCCTGGCTTCCCTGAGACGCAGGTGGATCCAGAGGATGGACTCCCCGTTTTTGCTGCGCTGATTTGGCACATGTCTTCTGTATTTGCTAGGCGTATTCATGCGTTTGTGTGTGGGTGCGTTCATGCTTATGCGGATTGTATTCTACGAGTCAATTCGAAGAAAGGCCTGCAATCAAGTGACAGGGCGGCTGGGAGTCGCCTCCAACAAATAAGCTCCATGTCCACTCTGAGAGAGCCTGGCAAGCTACCCGTGAGTATACCCAGCCCTCACGTTCAGAGCACAGCAAGCTATACGTGTGTATCAAAAATGCTAAACACAGCAAAAGAAACCCGGCCTCATTTCCCTGACCCCGAAAGAGCCCCCAATTTTGTAGCGTTGGGTAGGACGAGTACGGAGAGGCTGCTAAAATCTCAGGGCCAATGGAAGCTGCCTGGATTTCAAAGAACTATGGTGACGATCTGTACCTACAATGCACGTAAACTTGCACCCGAGTCCTCGGTGGAAGACTTGCTGATGCAAGCAAGAATGATAAGGTACGTCGTCATCGGCCTGGCCGAGACGAGGAGACGCCACACATTCAACGCCGTCTATGACACCGGAGAAGAACTGTTCCTCGGAACATGCGACAGTAGAGGAGTCGGCGGGGTCTGCGTTCTCGTCAACACGAGTTTATCCATGAACATGGATTCATTCGAACAACTTACAACCTGAATCGGACGTTTACGATTAAAAACACGTGGATCAATTCCGGCTTTGACAATCTTCGTCGTTTACGCGCCGACATAAAACTATAACGAAAAAAAAGTCGAAGCGTTCTATATGGACTTGGAGAAGTTCTACGGAGAAGACCACACATTCAAGACAATCCATGGTAGCTCGCAATTCCAGAAGCCCCACCCCCAGAGCTGGACGTGGGAGTCTCCCAGTGGAGAGTATCGTAACGAAATAGACCACATTATAGTAAATAGAAAGTTTTGCTTAGCCGATGTAGCTGTTGTACCAAAATTCTACACGGGATCAGACCGTCGTCTCTTTGGTGCAGCATTCTATTCCTCGCGGAATGGAGGAAAAAACCGTTAAATTCCAAAAACGAAGTCTCAAAACTACCGCAAACTGGAACTTCTTCAATTCATTAGTCGGATATTGGAAAGATGCCGTTGCCGATAATATCGACGAAGAGTATGATCGGATCTTCACGTTAATGCTAGGAAAACTGATAGTTCGAAAGATACCAGATGTGCATCTCCAGAAACTTCATCTGATACGCCAACGTGGAATGGCACGAGCGGCAGGCAACCGCGAACTAACGTCTGAACTTGCAAAACAATGCATACAGGCGGTAAAAAAAGATGTTAAAGAGCGAAGAGCAGCAGCAATGGTCAAAGCTGCAGAGGCTGAAAAAAGTATTCGCAAAGCCCAACGAAGCTTCGCCAATTACAAGACCAAAATGGTTACACTCCAGCGCCCAGACGGAACAGTTCCAGCGTCCAGAAAGGCAATGTAGAAAATCATTCACGTATACTACTCAGATTTCTTCAATAGTCACTTCAATCTTCTGTCATCTGAAATAAAAGAGGATGGATATGTTGTACCGCCGGTACTCCATTCTGAAATCCGACATGCCATTTCGTCGGTGAAAAATCGAACAGCACCAGGTCCGAAAAGGATAAGATCAGGACACCTGAAGAACCTTCTGTCAGTCCTCGTAAACACATTGGCTTGGCTCTTTACACGTTACCTATCTGAATGCAAGGTCCCTACTCAGTGGAAAACCAGCAAGACTGTGTTATCGTTCAAGAAGGGTGACCTAAACGATATCGGCAACCATCGCTCAATCTGCTTACTGTCTGTCGTCTACAAACTTATCACTCGAGTCATCCTAAACAGGGTTGACAGAACACTAGACGAAGGACAGCCGTGTGAGAAAGCAGGGTTTCGAAAAGGATTTAGTACGATGGACCACATTTACGCGGTAACACGGCTCATTGAAGTATCACGAGAGTACAAAAGACTGCTCTGTCTCGCTTTCATCGATTTACAGAAGGCCTTTGATTCTTGAGATTGAGATAGAAGCAGTCATGGAAGCCCTTGATAGTCAAAGAGTCCTTGTTGAGCAAATAAAGATTCTTCGTGAGCTGTACAAAAATTTCGCAACCAAGATATGACCATTCTACAACGATATTAATATTGGCGTCAAAAGAGGAGTTAGGCAAGGCCATACCATCTCGCCTAAATTATTTACCTCCACCCTCCAGAACGTCATACAAACATTGGAATGGGATAATATGGGAATGAAAATCGATAGTTGGCAGTTACACCATCTTCGCTTTGTTGGTGACATCGTCCTTATAACACCGAACATTAGCCAAGCGGAACGTATACTTGCCGACTTTAATAAACCTGTGGAAAGATTGGCCTTCGACTAAATCTCACAAAAAAGATCTTCATGAAGAACGGATTGGTTTCGTATGCCCCCAATCACGCTCAACGGAACGAATATCTCCGAATGTTCCAGTCACGTCTACACACGTCGGGAAATCAACATGATGAACAACTTAGAACCAGAGTTAAGCAGAAGGAAACGAGCGGCTTAGGCAGCCCTCAAAAACATCGAGGATTTATTGAAGAAAACAAAAAACACCCAACTCCTTGCCCACCTTTTCGACTTAACGGTGCTTCTTGCTTTAATGGATTTAACTACCCGAGTATGAGGTTTTAGCATCTATCCGAATCAACTAGTAGGAAGACCGAGCGAAGGATTCATCGCCGAAAACACACCTATCTCGGATCCACATCGTGGTGAAGACTTGGATACGCCCTTGCAAGGTTACGTCAGGACTCCAGAGAGGACCAAATTGCACGACCGGCAATAGGCCAGCTTCAGTACCTAAGCGGCGAGACGACCGGTGAGAGGCCAGAAAATTTCGAGCTACGCAGGACGTCAATGGAATCGAGTCTGAAGAACACACGTACGACACGCTATGGAGATCGTTTCTTACTATGCACATATAATGTCAGAACACTCTCCACAGACGCCGATCTTCACGTCCTTTTAGCAGCCGCAGATCGCATTACAAGAAACAAAAATCAAGAAGATCGACATACGTCAACCAAACAAGACCCTTGCGATTCGTAGAGAAAAGGTCCCGTCACGAAATGTCTGTGGCGTAAGCTCTGTCGTCCACCCGTCCACTGTCCATCTCGTCGACTCATACGTGATCCTTTGGCCTCGCATAGCCGTCCTCCGTCTTCAACTGCTGCTACATAAGATCACTATCATCAACTGCTACTCGCCGACCAACGTAGCCGATGAGTACGGATTAGAAGAAAGAAATGAGAATGGGAACCGTCCCTCAGGACTCCTGCCAGCAGCACGTCTCTTCCATGGAAACTCGTTTTTCTAGAAGAAAGAAAGCCGTCGTTGGGCATGGGAGTCTCCCAACGGCATGACACATGCGGAGATCGACCATATTCTGACAAACAGAAGATAGTGCCTATTGGACCCATCGGTAGTCCCGTCATTCTGATCGACCAAGAAGAAAAGTTTAGCTGTATACGACGAGAACATCCTAAACGAAGTGCTATCCAAACGTCATTGGCAGATTAAAGAAGACTCTACTACTAAGGAGTTGCTCGAAAAGAGAAGGGAACTGAAACTTGACCCTACTGCAACACATTCAACACGGGTAATAATAAATGCCAGCTGCAGAAGAGCTTTGCAAAAAGATCTACAACGGTACAAGCAGAAGAAAATACTGGAAGCAGCGGAGAGAAGAAGCAGTCTGAAAAACTGCCGTCGGGACTTGTGTGATTATAATGTTCCGCTGCCAGCCCTGATGAACGAAAATGGGATCAATATTAACCCTTTTATTTACTGTCTTTTTCTTTTTAATGGCAGGGTATGTTGCGAAATATAACTCGTATATAATGCTGAGATATTTGCAAAACTCCGGACCGCAGGTGTATGCGGTGGAGAACGAACCCGTGGTGTTGTCCTTACAAGGGAGCAACGCACTTCACCACCACACCATCAGAGTCCTTCGTTCTGCCTGTCTCTCAGCTAGTTCTATCTTGCTGGTGGCAAAAAGATCGATAGAACTAGCTGAGAGACAGGCAAAACAAAGGACCCTGATGGTGTGGTGGCGAAGTGCGTTGCCCCCGGTAAGGACAACAGCGCGGGTTCGTTTCCCACCGCATACACCTGCGGCCCGGAGTTTTGCAAATATCCCAGCATTATATGCGAAAATAGGATCGTCAAAACTTCCCGCCATGATATGGAATTGATAGCGGAAACGTTCTACACCAGCCTTTTCCGTTCCACAATCCCCGTCCTGGGCACTAATATCCCCGCTAGAGAAAAACCACCTGGAATTCTTCCGTCGGAGGTTCGAGTTGCGATAGGAAGCATGAAAAGAGGCACAACTCCAGGACACGATAATATCACTGCCGATTTCCTTAGAGTTGGAGGCCACAATTTACACGTACTTTTCGCAAATCATATGACAGGCTACCTTCAGAAGGAGAAAATCCCAAACCAATGGAGGACGTCGCGCACGGTTATCCTACCCAAAAAGGAAGACCAAAAGGATCCTCGTAACTATCGTCCCATATGGTTATTAAGTGTACTCTACAAGCTCTTCACGAAGATTATCCTCTCGCGCATATCAAGGACATTGCATGAAGCGCAATCAGTGGAGGAAGCAGGATTTCGAAAAGGATTTTGCTGCATGGACCACAACCAAACTGTGCCCAGTGTCATCGAACTTTGTCGGNCCGTCCTACGCAAGCACGCTGTCCAACTGTTATCGGAACTGCACTACGGAAATGCAGCTTTTCCATAGACCTCTTACAATACCCATAGAAAAAGGGGTTCGAAAGGATGACACAATAACACCAAAGCTGTTTAGTGCCGCATTGCAGTGGATAATGAAGTCACTCGATTGGGATGAGAAAGGCATACGCATTGATGGAAAATTCCTATCAAACCTTCGTTTTGCCGACGACATTGACGTCTTCTCAAGAAGTACTAGCGAAGCAGAGGTGATGATCAGCGAGCTCAACGATACGGGTAAAAAGATCGGACTTCGCATAAATCGAAAGAACACCCAATTCGTGAAAAACCCACGGTGCGAAGGCGAAAACACTGAATTGGATGGCTCTCTCATTGCAGAGACCACCTCGTTCGTTTACCTTGGGCGATCAATGAACATGGAAAACAACATGAAGGAGGAACTAGCAAGAAGAAGGAGAAGAGCCTGGGCCGCATTCGGACCTCTCAAAGAAGCCACCGACGAACTGAAGGACCCGAAAATGCGCGTTCGTCTCCTTGATTCTACGGTCCTCCCAGCGCTCTTTTATGCTGCAGAGACGTGGGCTGATACTTCAACTGCGTCAGGAAAGCTCCGAACACAGAGCGCTTGAGCGATGTCTTCTGAAATATATATGCGAATTGCATTCTAAAAGACAATTCGGCCAAAAACCTGCAATAAAATGACAGGAAAATATATGAGAAGCAGTTAAGAGTCGCCTCCAGTAAATAAGCTCCACATCCACTCTGAGAGAGACTGGAAAGCCATCCGAGTATACCCAGCCCTCACGTTCAAAGCCCAGCAAACTATACGTGGGTATCAAAATGCTAAACACAGCAAAACAAATGGGCCTCATTCCCCTGACCCCGAAAGAACCCTCAATTCGGTAGCGTTGAGTAGGATGAGTACGGAGAGGATGCTCAGGGCCAGGACCAATGGAAGCTGCCTGGATCACGAAGAAGTAAGGTGACGATCTGTAACTACAATGCACGTACCCTTGCCTAGGACTCCTCGATAGAAGACTTGATCATGCAAGCGAGAGTGTAGCATGTTGTACCGCCGATTCTCCCTTCCAAAATCGACATGCCATTTCGCTGGTGAAAAATCTAACGGCACCAGGTGCGGACTGGATAGGACCAGAACACCTGAAGAACTTTCCACCAGTCCTCGTAAACACACTGGCTCTGCTCTTCACGCGTTGCCTATCTGAGTGCAAGGTCCCTACTCAGTGGAAGACCAGCAAGACCGTGTTATTGTTGAAGAAGGGTGACCGACACGATATTGGCAACTATCGCCCAATCTGCTTGCTGTCTGTCCTCTACAAACTTTTCACTCGAGTCATCCTAAACCATGAAGAATGGCTTAGCTCCAGAGTTGTGCAGAACGAAACGATCGGTTTAGGAAGCTTTCAAGAGCATCGAGGATATAGTGAAGAGGACAAAGAACACACAACTTCGTGTCCACCTTTTCTACTCAATGGTGCTTCTTGCTTTAACCTATGCATCAGAAACCTGGTCGCTGCGTAACCAGGATGAAAGGTCACTCAGCGTTATCGAACGCGCAGTCGAAAGGACGATGCTAGGAGTATCCCGTTTCACACAAGTAGGAGAAGGGATCAAAGGCTTCGAGCTGCGTCAACGATCAAAAATCAAAGATGCCGTTCTCTACGCCACACAATCGAAGATAAGGTGGGCCGGACACGTAACGCGTATGAATGACAACCGATGGACAAGAGCCGTTAGTGACTGGATTCCTCGGGTTGTCAAACGCACTGCAGGAAGACCACCTACCCGATGGTCAGAGTTCTTTCCAAAAAGCCTTTAAGAAAGATATGATGCTCGACGAGTCCCTAGAGCGAGCAGAACCCACTGGGCTACTCTTGCATGCGACAGGGAAAAATGGAAGATTTACCGGCGCCCGCTCGAGTCACTCGACGATCAATGGGACTATAGGTGATACAGGTGATATATACATTTGCGATATTTTAAAGATGAGTGGTAGTAGCAGACGTAAGATAAATGGAATTTAATGATAGAAAATAATTTTGCTCACTTATTCCTTCTATTTGACGTTTTCGCTATTCATCGTAATGCCAACTATAATTCCATTATTTTCGAGTCGGTTCTTCTATGCCTTCATTACCAACAGCGATTTTTCTAGGAGTCTTATAGCATTCAACAGATCTACGTATATATAGGAGTTTAAGGTGGAATCGAACAGCCATTGCTTCGATCTGCATTTACACAGTGAAGAAAATAATCTGGTGAAACGTCGAAGGGCTGACCAACTTCGACGCAAAGTTGAACTCGTGCTGGACTGTGAATCTGTAACAGAGTTCTTGGCATTGCTGTGCAGCAATTGAACCAAAAAAGTACTGCTTTATGGCTGCATCTGCTTGATAGCTTGATCAATCATTATTTCGTTTCTGTTGTTCATATCGGATCGAAGAAAGGGTAGCACAATAGCTGGTGATGCAGTCCGTCAAGAAACGAGCACTGGTTCAACATTCTCCCAACGTTCTCTCCAATCCAAATGGAGACGGCTTAGCTCGGTTATCTTCAAGATTGCAAACAGAATCGACTCGACCATCATCTTGCTCCATTCATGAAAAAGATAAATCATTGAGCACCAGCCGCAGCAACACGCGAGATTTTCAAAGACCTTAATGGACGATGAATGCGAGAAAACAAATATTATGCAAGAAGTGCTAGCACCAGCATAGTAGATGTGATGACGGGTGATATAAAACAAAATAAAAATATTACAAATCTTTTAATACCGTGCTCATCCCATACTTCCATTTTGTTCGTTGCCTCCCAAAATTCATCACTGAAGGTCTTCGGATTTGAGTGTGATTTCAGCTGCCATTTGAGGATTCTATGCGATGAATGTCATTGGAGCTGATTCTTCCTGAAGTGCTGTGATAGCTCAACTAAGGCACCACCAGATTTTAACCACCAAATGGCCGCCGGTCTTTGTGGACGAGAAGAATACTCTTTGCAGACGCGTAGTACTGGTGAGTACCAAATAGCCTACCGACATCAGAGTGAGCGACGCTTGGTTGGTTCGAGGAGGAATGAATGCAGCCACTCCGTATAATGAGTGCATTGCACGGTCTCTTGCCACTACACTTTCTGTCCTCGACAGATCTATTGCGGACATTGTTATCTACAGAAAGTCGAAAACAACGGTAAAATCGACATTTCTCTGTTACCAGTGCATCCTGGCGTAGACCTGGGTTGAGTCTGGGTTCTTCTCATTGATTTTCTACGATCCGCACCGTGGAATCAAAGTGTCCATTTAAAGTTGTTATACGATTTTTTGTTTGGCACTTGTTACCACACATCAAACATCCAATTTAATGAATATGATCATCGTTGTTTCCCTAACACCATTCCAAGAAAAAGTATAATATGGTCAATGTGGTCTATTAGGGATTTTACGAAATCATTAATCCATTATGTAAGATAGCGAATGTACAATGATGCCTTATTGTCTCTTCCCAACGGTTTACCGCCTCATCGTGGCTGGGACGTGTTCCTGGGTGTCGGACCGCTATGTACAGCGGGGTGATTCGTCCACCCGGCAGGATCTCCCAGGCTAAGAAAGACTCCGGCGTTCCCATCAAAAAGCCTAGCTAGGAGTAAACTAATACTGGGATCCGCTACCGTCCTGGTATCAAAATCGCATGGTGGCAAATCTCCCTCTGATCCACAAGGGATGCGACTGCCCGTGGTGGTGAAGACCTGGGGCAGACTTTGGCCAGGCTGACCTTGGGATTCTAGGAAACCACAATGCCCTAACTAGCAAATCTCCGAGAAATGGTGATTGTGCTGAGGCCCGCACAACCAGTGAGGAGGGGCCGCTCAAGTGTTAAGTGTCATTATGTAAGACGTCGGCAAGCTATTAAATGTAAGAAGGCGTTGCTGATAGTTTATTGTAGAGCTACTATTTGACTCTTGTTTGTACTTACAGAACAGTAATGATATGCCATTGTTGGTCTCACGACACTTTATCCAATCATGAGCATATTTGAAAAAATTCACTCCGTTGAGATTTCAAGAACCATGGCATGAATAATAGTCAATTATATTATTTCCTTGAGAAAGAAATGTTTTTCTTCCATCTTCCTTGCTAAAGAATAATTAGCGAAATTCGAAAACTTGAACTAGAAAAAATGGAGGATGGGGAGTGCAGGAGACCAAAAGGAAATTGGAGCGAACACGGTTATCGGCCACTAAACCCCATCGATTCAGGCACCGAAGTGCAACACCATTAACGTTTTGTATGCCGATCCTGGTGGATTAGTAACAAAATGTTGCTATGGAATTCCGCAATGTTTCCACAGATACCATGCGTTACGAGAGGTAGGTATACTATTTTTCCGGTGATACGGGATGACACAATGCCATGCTGCCGTGTAAAATTTCATTACTTTTTAATGGAGTTGTTCTAACCCTAATGTACTACGTAGTGGATCCATGTACATTGGTCTTATTATGATTTAGTAAATTCCAGAGCAAAACTTTACTTTCGACTTGTCTACTTTGGACGCATTCTTCCATCACAATAGCAGTAGTTCAGCTCAGCAGCTCTCCTTCGAATACCACGGTGAAACCCTGCAAACAGGCGTCAGGTGAGGTTCAAAACAGTTTTTCCTCTACATTTTTACTAGACTGGTACACAAGCAGAGATCGACAATCAGCAACTGATTGGTATCCTGGGCGTATCATTCGACATCGACATACCATATCATCGACATCCTCCTCACCACATTGCGATGAAACACCTTCGGTCTATGGCAGAAAGCGATGTGCTTCTATGTTCAGTTAACGTAGAAGTTAGTGTGTTGCCGGTCCCTCATGAGGCATGAAATCGTTTGCAGTTTTCTATGACTATGAAGGACCCGTTGTACCGACAGCTACCGAATCAGAAAAAAAGTGCATGAGAGCATGAGAGCCGAGAGTTATGCGATACTTCGAAGAAAAAAAACAGTCAGGAGAAAAATCCGTTTGTAGGCTCAAACTCTGAAAGATGAGTGCTTTAAAAAAAGAAACCAGTACCTTTTTTGTAGGATTTTGATAGAATTCATCAAAATTCTAACTGTGGAATGATAGCGGTGGCACTTTTCTCAGAATAAAGGATAACCGTATGTGGCCTTTACAATGTCTCTCAGCGGCCTACCGATGTATCAAACCAGTGCTAATCCTCCGAAACAGGTCTGGTACCAATTTGCCGACCCCAGAGGGATGAAAGGCTTGGTGGGCCATGGGCGCGGGGATCGATTCCACGCGTGTATTGCAAGACGCCTCCGACCACTGCGCCACACGCGTCCTTTTTATCAGAATATGATTACCTATTAAGAAAGTTTCTCATCTAATGATCTCATTCGCTTAATATCTGGGTGCAATTTGATAGAAAATGGTTGCTAACGCTGAGCTTTCAAGTGGAGAACGACGACATCTATTTGTATCAATCACTATGACTCGTCCATTAAGTGCGAAACTTTAGAACTGAAGCTGATTCCCATTCTTCATCTCCATACTGACTACTGATAAGAGGCCGAGGACTGGTTAAACATGGGTTAAGCTGCTTCGGTTAAAATTTTTGGACTGGAAAGGGCTCAAAAGCAGGGCGACTTTATCACGAATCAGCTATAGGCCTGGTATGCAGTGAAATTTTTCAGCTACTTCTGATGTGGAGGATGAGTTGCAAATTATCTTGCACGAAGAGCAACACAGTAAGTTGTTCTTTTACGAGCCATTCACCCTCATTTTCTATAAATCGGCCTATTCAAGCGGTTAAGCTGTGAATCGTCACCTAATGACGGTCATTCACAACACGATTTTAAAACTTTTATCAAAAACATGAAATTGTTTCTAATGAGTGGTTGAAATTTCTAATAGGTAAAGAAATAAGAGTATCAAAGCGCTTAAAAAGACTCTGCTACTCTCAGGTGGATCACAAAAAGTGGGAATGGAGAATGTAGTGAGAGATTCAGTGATCATCTTCACAGAAAGCGTCATCTAGATGGAGAGGAGACAGGCGCTGGAACGGAGGCAGACAGACAGACGTGCATATACATACATACATACATTCATATATATATATATGTATATATATGTACATATAATGCGAAGAAAGCAATCTCTTGTGGGCCTACATAACTCATCAGCATCAATTCATCAATTGCTGCTGGAAGTTCTACTCAAATTGCCATAGAAAAATAGGTTTTCTCCTTCTGTGCAACCAGACGGAAACCGCCATTCAAATTAGCAGACATTTGAGCGGTGAGGAAAGAGAACTGAGATAGAACTTGAGATTTCTCAAGTGTTCTATGAGTCACACTGATTAAAATTGCGAACTCATCATGGATAAGCAGGTAGGTCATCACGTCACTATGTACCCGCTTGGCAATTTTTAAACCTTTTTTTATTTTACATGATCTGCCTTCACGTCTACTCTGCGGATTCCAGTATTTCTCACACTCGATTCGTTTCCTTGCATCCATTGTCCACTAAAATCTTCCATATTTACGTGTGGCTTCGGCTGCTACTTGAGGATTTTCATTTGATCTAGAATGTCACAGAATGCTGGTCGAGTCGACTCCCTGGGGTCCCGAGATAGTCGGGCTGGAGCGTATTCAATTGAACTGCAAAAAGTGATTTCTTCGCAGACAAGTCCTGTACCGATTTTCCTACCCCGGAGAGACGAGGGGTTTGGTTAGTCCGAAGCGGAACGGAATTTGCACCATGATCATGATGACCGACATCACTCCTACTGTGCTATCTGCCTGTTTTTTAACCCTACTTTACTTAGCTACATAAGGTGTTCTCAAGACTCAAGGCAAAGCCATACAATCAGAATGAGCGTCAGGGTTCTACTACAGAACGCGTAGGATTATAGCAAACTAAAGTCGAAATACGGCAAAATTTCAACTGTTAAAAAAAACAACTTACTTCTACTTAGAATTGCACTTTGCTGTTAATTTTTCCCTTCATAATGAAAACTGGCGGCTCTGATGATTTTCAGATACTTATGCACACATTCCCATCCAGATTCTTGCCTTTGCAACGTTTGTTTACCTATGTTTTTTCTTCTTTTTCGCATTCAATCCGCATCGTAGCACCGATCTGGCTGAACTGTCTGTAAGCGGGATTTTTTATCGTAGTGATGTGAAAATTCTTTTTGTCTTTCTTACGATTCTCTTTTCACAGGCAATCGTAGAAGAGGAAATTGCACAGCTATCAATCCTCACCTCCAAAGCAGTCCAATCAATAAAGGTAAGTTTTTGAATGAGAAGAAATAGCACGAAAAATACCTTTTAAATGAATACAAACATTTCAACGTCAACAAAACCTATATTTAAGTATCTAGGAAGATGCACAGATATTTGAAGACCGTCCTTTGCTACTACTATGCTACAAGTTCTTATCTATCATCAATCCGGCTAACATTTACCAGAGCGCTCGGAGAATCCTTCCAACATGTTTTGTCCTCTATGCGCCTTTATGAGATCAATGTCGTCCACAAAATTTTTTGTAATCTGACACATTAGTTTCCTTTGCTTTCAAATTCGTATATCGGGGATGCATACTCAAATGAGTATTTACGAATATGGTTTTTATAAACAAATAAATTTAATAAATATGAACGATTATCCAATAAACATTTTTTACGTAAGTGAAGCATTCTTACCTTACAAACAATTCGTAGATGTGAAAGAATTTTTATTGCAATGGTGTGTGCTATAGTGCAACTGATAGCAGCTTTGTCAGGCTGAGAAGCAGGTGAACGTCGCTCCTGCGGTGCTTCTGATGAAGCGACCCGAGCAGTCCACCCAGGAGTCTCTGGAGGAGGTGCGCGGCCCGGGCGAGACGTGCAACTCGTGGCTGTGCCCACACAATCGCCATCATCGAGAGTGAGTGCACTGTGTCATCTCCATATTTTCTTCGGCGTTCGTCTATCATAGCGAAAATTCGAAGAAATCACTGCGAAGGGTCAAAAAATAAGTAAAGCATCATTGGAACCAGAATCTATGCTTCACTCTGTCTTCTTTGTTATTTGTGTTTTCGGAAACAAATTGTAGTGTGAGATTGAGTTCTTTTTTGTCATTAATCAAATTTATTTTCATTGCTAACAAAATGGTCGGGAATACACCTGTGAAAGATCCCGGACTTGTCGCCTTCAGTGTTAACAAGGATGTACCGTTATCGGCTATATCTACAAACTTTAACAAAATGGTGCATTTTTACAAAGTTACAAAACTTCTGACGACAACATCCAAGAATAATCAACCAGGTTTCAGTCTCAGTATGGGAAATCGACAACTCTGTCACAATCAGTGGATCCCACTAGCAAAGCTCAGGTGAAGGTAAGAAGTCAAATCCAAGACCCGACTAATCAACTTCAGGTTTTCGTTAGCATTTTGGTGTGTGACACAATTTACCAAGTGAGGGTTAACTATGTACTTGCCACTTATTCATAGTACCAACGCAACCGTAACAGCCACAGAGATGAAATGCAGTGTTCACTGTTTTATCGGTCCTCAGCAACTAATGCGGCAAAACCTCGATGGTAACTAACCACACACTGCTAATTCTTTATTTGCTGCCTACTACAACTTTCACGGCCGGGTATTATGCAAAAGACAACCACAATGATGCTGAGATATTTGCAAAACTCCTGACCGCAGGTGTATGCGGTGGGGAATGAACGCGCTATTGTCCTTTCCGTGGAGTAGCGTGTCCACCACCACACCACGCGGGTCCTTCGTTTCGCCTGTCTCTCAGCTTGTTCTATCGATTTTTTGCCATCAGCAATCACCCGTCAGCGGGATTGATCTGGGGGATCTGGAGGTCGTTGCGAGGGATTGAAGTTATATTTCACAACGTATACCCTGCCGTTAAAAAGAGTAGGCAGTAAATAATAAGTTAAAATTATCTCTCAGCTAGTTCTAGCTAACTAACGACATAATTAGGATAAAGCAAAAGCAGTAGATGAAGAGCGCATCAACAAATGGATACTCATTAAGAGCATCAGACAACTGAATCACACCACGACAACCGGAAGCGGTCGACGGACTGCGAAGCCGATATCAGTGAAGAAAGTTGTGAGTGTAGTTGATTTTTTATGAAGTAGAAGAGCGAGAATAATTTCCATGAAAGGCTGTTGGAGCACAAATACAAAATTCCGTTACAAAATTTTCGAGATCTAGAAACTGCATCTTGTGTCTTCACAATCATATATTTTCAGCTTTATAATCAAATTATGGAAAAGAACTAAGTCATTCAAAAGTTCTGCACGATTTCTTGGAAAGTAATTGCTGTTCATCAATGAAAAGCATAGGTATCGACATAGTTAGCAATCAGTGATTTCTGTGTTGATGACCACATTCAAAAGATATCAGTGCGGTCACGATTTAAGCAGCTGCCTTCCTTCAGCTTCAAATTCTCCATTAACTGAGGATTACAAGCTCTACCCATTACTGCTATAAGCTGAAAAACCTCACAGTACGTTTTGTGCTAAAGAGAACTGCTTTGTGGTAGAATGACTTATAAGACAACTGAACACATCACCCTGTACATTTATGTTCTTCCTATACGTAGTTTTACTCCCATATACATTCGTCTAAGTGTCTTCTTCTATCAATATCTATAGAGATATTCATAACATTGCCGTTCGTTTACCACTGCGCTTCATATAGGCAGATCAGTGATTTGTTAAGCAAAAAAGACTACTCAAGAAAGAAAGCAACAACTATGACCTTAGGTTTTTGACTTGGAATTAAACATGTCGAATTAACACAATAAAGTGGCAGCGTAGGAGGAAACCGGTTTTTCGATAACCGCCCACAATTTTTTGCTAAGTAGGATGGTTGGTAAACTGAGAACTAGACAGGCTCATAACAGAGATTATAGACAGTGATTTCAAGCACGAGTAGGTAGGCTCAAAATTCAATCGTGGAGAAAAATGGAAATCGGGAAATGGGGAACATAGTTTTAAGTTTTTCAACCCAAATGCAGCAACCAAAAATAGGGTGTATTGGTGCCAACAACGTACCCTGTTTTATTAAATTTCAACTGTTTAACTCCTTCAGTATTCGAAATCCGATACCTAGCGAACAAAAGTGAAAGAGTGCTTTTTATGAAGTCTACAGTCCTATCGGTATGAAGCAAAAACGCTGAACATTGTTAGCAAAGAACTGTGTTCTTATCACTTTTATTTAAAACTATCGAAGTGACTAAGATTTGCGATGAACCTCGTAAAGGCCAATTATTTTCTGGAAAGCTTTGTGCTGATATAAACGCATATGGACGTAAATGTGTTTGAATACTGTTCTCATGGGCTCTACGTGGCGTACTACTGAATGATAGCTACAGGTCAGCCAGTTTCAGTAGCTTGAAAGTAAGTACTGCTTGCATCTTCTTTCACCTTATTATTCAAGTTTATTGAACTTTTCTTAACCGTTATATTCCTCCTGTCTTCTGTATGACGCCTTCTCTTCCTTCCTATGTGAACTGATTGTTTAGAGCTGTGCTCTTTTCGTCCGTCTCCTTTATACAGTAAGCGCGCGTACAGTGGTGGTCAGACGTGACCTGTTTACTACTCTAGTGAAATCCCGGATGTCTATTAACAAACACTGCATTGCTAAATACATACAAAATATCCTGCATGTTATTTCTCGCAATTCGTTATTCATAATACAACTGTCCCGAAACAGCATAACTACCTCATAACAATAACGTTAATAACCTAAAGCAGTCTCGGTAAAACTTAGACATGTTGAAAAATAGACGAAACAAATTCCAAACTTATGAAGCAGCGCGCGAAAGTAATTCTTATCGACGAGTAGAAGAACTATTAATGTGTGCAGACCTGGACGCATAAGAATGAGATGAGGAACTTCCGAACAACTCTGACTAAGCCCTGAATCTTTCCAACAGCGACTTTGGAACATCGAATGTCCTACTCATCATGTCTTTTTGTTCTTGGAGATGAGTGAACTTATTTCCAGTAGCTGGAGAAGCAGATGGATGACGTCCAGTATACCGTATTACACGGTCAGCGGATTGAAGGAGACTACTGAAGCGTGGTTGTACGAAACCCTATGCACCCATGTTCTTGAGCTCCTTCTGTGACCAAATGAGTTCTGCACCAGGATATTTCTGACATTCAGCTTCAATTAGATTGTAAGGAAATAGAGAGATCTGTTCTATACAACAAATCGTAACCACATCATCTTTTCCAACATGTTTCCTAGCATTGATCAAATCGTAATAGACTTTCCCCCTACAAAAAATGAGTTTCTGCACAGCGCTTGCATTGTGAGGTGTGCCATCTTCAGGGATAACACGTCGAAAATGCGTGCCTGTGAGGAAATCCTCGATAGGTGAACGAGCTAGTGGATGACGAAGCAATGACTTTGGAGACATAACAATGACAATCTGCAATACACAAGTGGTCCTTGGTTCGAACCTGCACCTCGGCATCACTAAACTATCCATCCGTCTTAGATCGGTGAATTGGTACCAGGCCTGTCCAGGAGCATAGCAGCACCAAATTGATGCATCGGCAGGTTACCTCGAATCATTGTATAGGCCAGATATGCATTCAGTCACCACTAACGATGCTTCATGAAGTCGAATGCACGGTGCATCTCTCACGGATTGATCAACGTCGAGAGCTTTACCCTTTATCCTTTAATAACGTGCAGAAGAAGAGACGGTCTTCTAAGGCGCTCTTGAGAATTGTTAACGAATGATGAAAACTCTTGAACATAATTTTAACTTATTATTTAGTACCTACTCCTTTTAATGACAGAGTATGTTGCGAAATATAACTTCAGTGATGCTGAGATATTTGCAAAACTCCGGACCGCAGGTGTATGCGGTGTGGAACGGACGCGCTATTGCCGTTTCTGGAGGCTAACGCGTTCAACACCACACTATGCTGGTGCTTCGTTTCGCCTGTCTCTTGACTCTTGTGACTCTTGAACATAGATGAAAGCCCTGATTTGACCAGGTTTCGTCCCATCCCACATATGAAACTGTGAATACGTAGAACTGCATTAAAAATCCATACTGGTTCACTGATCGTTGAGTCTTGCAGTGTCATAGAATCCTGAAGTAATTGGAGAACAGCGTTATATTATTTTCGTCGTGGGAAAAAAAATGGTCATTCGACTGATTAAATATTATGATAATTCCTACCATATAGTTTTCGTCCAGGCAAAAATAGTTCTAAACAAGTACTGGTCAATGATGAGCTTCCAGTTCTTCTCAAATCGAAATAATCTCAGCCTCGTGCCTCTGTTGGACACTCTTCTGCACTAACATAGGCAGTCAAAGAAAAACGGCTAATCGCTATGTAAGGCTATAAACCTCGACGATGAATACTTACAAAACAGAATGACGCGACATAGAAAATTCCACTTTGTAACATGGAAGAGCCATGCATTTCAAGCACAGAGTTTGATGAATGACCATTTACAACTGCAGTGCCTAATGGAAAAATAACGAAACTATTTAAGGGCTCAACAGAACAGCGAAGCGTAATTGTTAAAAACCCAAATGCCCAGCGATGAAGAATCAGAATTCGGCAACTAATGAAATGGAAGCTACAAAACGAACAAGTGCTGTGAACATAACAGTTTAACATGTTTATTGTATTTACAATGTCGGTACCTTTTTGTGTCCAATTATTCCATGGCAATAAAATTATAATAATCTTCGTTGAATAGAAAGGAATAATTTCTTATTGTGGTTAACTCGACCGATTGCCATCATTCGATACAGTTACTACGGATATTGCGAAAAAAGCCCGTGATTTAACTGATCATGCATGGTTGCCAATGACTAGTACCACAAATTTGAAACCCACCGCCTAACGGAGAAAACAGAAATTAGATAGAGAAATATTGAATCTAACGATTCATAAAGAATAGTTCTATATCTGTTGCACTATTCACGTTAAAGGTAAATATCACAGCACTACTTAAGTGTGGCACGATACCTAATAGGATAATAAATTTTGGCGCAATGAATTAGTGAAACCAACATCCATTACTTTCATCGTTGTCATACATTATTTTAGGCCTACTTCTTGCTTAAATATTAGAAGCGTAAGACTTCCAAATTTTAACCCGGTAGTAATTTCGAGCTCAAACTTGGACACTACAACATCGTATACAACAACAGATAAGATTAGGCGCAGTGATTGAACCGTAATAAACCCGGCAAACACTTTTCAGAGCCTAATTTCCAGCAAAAGAGGATTTTGATGAGTGTCTGGTAGCTCCCACGGAACTCCCTCACTGAAGATCACTGGCCGATTTGTCAAGATACTTAGCGTGTGGCTAGGTGGTGGGTAGAGTGGGAAACGTAGAGCAAAAACCGCCTTTTACATCCGAGAAACCGTACCCTGACAACAGGCAACCACTATTTCAAGCATCTCGACAACTACTTGCAACGAAAGTGCTTTAAATAACAAAGCCACTTGTTGGAAAAATTTCGAAGAACTTTTCGTTACTATAATTTTCTATACAGCAGGAATAAATAGGCTTTTACCATACCGGCTAAATGTGTGGATTGCTTCCTATATCACACAATGCACTGCAATACACATGGGACCACTCCCCCACGCCACAGGTTAACTATGGCCTCATTCCCTTCGTTCGGAGTCGGGAAATTGGTACCAGAGTTGTCTGGCAGGACCGCTGCAGTGACTGGGTACATCGGTAGGCTACGGCGAGTCATTATAAAGGCCAGACATGCATTCATTCACCCCCAAACGATGTTTAGTAAAGTCGAATGCATGGTGGATCCCTCAGGGAATGATCAACACCGAGAGATTTATCCCTCTATCCTTTTATCGCAGAATGCATTCACTATAACGTGAGTTGAAGTAAACTCAGGAGTGAACACAGTAATGCGAACTGATTTCTATTCACATTCCTACAGAATGTTTACCGCAGCTTTCCTGCAATATTCCTCGCATTTACTCGATGCTTTCTCCGCCAGTGAGACTGTAATCATGCACTAGAGAGCTTTTCGGTGTAACGTTGTCCATCCAGGAAGTATTAAGATGCTCCGATGCCGCAACACGGACGCGAGCTCTTTGTCAATCTGTCTAGAGGCAAGGTCTTCATCAATCTGTCTCAACAGCATCGTTGCATCAATGGACACAAAAATTATTCTAAATAATGATATACTCAAACGCTGTGAAATCGACTATAAGAGGTCGAAATCATGTTTGGATAGAAGATGAGCACTTCTTGACTGCACATCAGAGACAGAAACGCTTCGAAAGGGAAGGAAAATACGTTGAAGTGCACAGCCGTATGGTAGATGAACACAAATTCTTAAAAAAACATACACAACCGAACTGTAAGGAAACAAGTGAAGAATGGAGAACATAAAATACGATGCTAAGTCAAACAGCTCGTTGAGATGCTATCCATTACAAGCAATCAAAGCTTCACTTCCATAGACTAAGAAACATCAAAAATGGAGCAGTCAGAGATCAGATGGACCATAAACATCACATCAAAGAGGTGGAATTATTGGGCACGAGTTCAGGCTGAATTGGTATCGCTTACTGGCAAATGAACAATGGGAGTTTGAAGCTAAATAGTGATGCTGGTCGAACTCTTCAAACGCAAACATAATAGAGAAACTTCAGCACGACAATGAGTGGAGAGTGAAGTTAGTTGCTCCCGCTTAATTTACACAGCAAACAACTCTCCTGGTGACATCGACGATAAATCTGTAAAAGGATAAAGGATAAAGCTCTCGGTGTTGATCAATCCCTGAGAGATGCGCCATGTATTCGACTTCACTAAGTATAGTTGGAGCTGATTGAATGCATTTCTGGCCTTTACAATGGTAGCCTACCGATGTATCGAGCCAGTGCTGCTATCCGCCCAGACAAGTCTGATACCAATTTGCGGACCACGGAATGATGGAAAGCTTGGTGGGCCTTGGGTGCGAGTACCGTTCCCATAGTATTGCACGGCGCCTCCAACTACTACGCCACACGTGCTCTATCCGTACAGTATTGTATAAAATCATCTTTTCTCACCATATCAACTTGCTCTTATTACTTGCTCTTGTGAAACTGTCGCATCCTCTTCCAAATATATTATGTTCTAGATGTTTGGTACAGTTGCAAAGAACTGCCTTCATTCACAATTTACTCGTCACCATGTAAATGCATTAAAATACGCACACCATGAACACATGTATCCTTTAAAATGCACTAGAATGAAAGAGATATAAATCAAAAAAGGACTAGAAAACCTAGAAAAATCACCTCATAACTTGCTAGAAAGCACAGAAATCCTAATGAGTCAGACCATGATACAGGAGATGGCAAGATTTCGCACAGGGATCTAAGAGCTTTACAATATGACAACGTGACAAGAACTGATACTTTTTCAGTTACCTGAACGAAACGATAAATATGAAGGAGCTATAGGAAGGAGAAAGAAAACCAACGAAAGACAGAGTATGTACAAAGAAAGTATGACTTAATATACAGAAAGAGACGTGAAAACATCTAAAAGTACTCCTTGTGAAATAATCCGCACGTAAACCGAGCTCTTCAATAATGCCCAATTCTCATCGGAATAACTCAGAACATTGCAAAGCCGCTCCTTTTTTGCTAGTTACTCAACCACATTCACGAGTTATGAGAGCTCTGCCCTATATACATTGATTACTTCTCGATGGTGCATAGCCGCTGTCAGATTGAAATGACCGAAGTAAGTCATCAATACTACAAAGAATAGAGTCGCTAACAAGAAGGACAACCAAAAACCAACACAATTTCATCGCTTGAGGCTGCAATCTCACCTGCAATCTGCCCATGCCACACCAGCACCAGCTCTGCAATCCTTAATGTCCGTAACTGGTCTCCAGGAATTCGTGACTGGGTCGTAAGCTTCAACTGTATTGAGGTAGCGTTGCCCATCATGACCACCAATTGCATAAACGAGACCACCCATGGAAGCAACGCCGACCCCGCCTAGAAATTACGACAGAGTTCAGCAGTGATGTTAGCACGTCTGAAAATACAATATGTTACAGCGCTCATTACTTACGGTTTAGCAACACTGTGAACTCGACTATACCTTAATCGCTTCCCTCTAAGTATTATTTACGCCATTTTCTGTTATTTTCACAAACAATTTTTTCACTATGATGCCTCTGAAACAGACGTGGCATCTCAAACCGTCTTTGTGGTTAACACCCTCGTGATACCAAAACTAATTTAGAGGTGAGTTAATTTCACTCATGCCTACCGCTTGGCTTCAGTTCACTTTGCATGCTACTTAAAATCACCAAAGCATTAGAAATCGCTTATTATCCAGACAGAACTGAAGATATTTAAGTGTAGCTTCATTATTTTTCTATACGGCTCTTTTGTTTGACAAGTAAACATTTTATGAACATTGCATAGGAGCGGCCTAAATCTCTAAAAAAGATGGAAACCCAAAAGCATTTCGACAACCTAGTACGAGCTCATCAAGGACACTTCGCAAGAACGAACCGGCGGTTATTAATACCAAGTCCAAGTGAAAGTCAACCATTTAAATGGGTTAACAAGTCATGTCGATCAATTATGAACTAAACCTAGATACCTCGAGAGAATGTCATATTCGCGAGCTGTACCCACTGATCAGTGTTCGGGTCGTAGCGCTCGCAAGTGGATAGCGGTGAGTTGTCATCGAACCCTCCAAGTGCGTAAAGTGCACCATCCAGAACACACACACCGGCTCCTGCCCTAAAATTGGAAGGACGTACACTATGTAACTATATCTATATATCTATTCATATATATTTGTACATGTCTGTATTTATGCATATATGTGTATACTTAGATACTTGGACAGCCCGTCCTCACTGCTTGTGCGGGGCCCAGCACAATCACCATTTCTCGGAGATTTGCAGGTTAAGCCAGTGCAGTTCCCTGGAATCCCGAGGTCACCTTAACGATAGTCTACCCCAGGTCGTCACCACCACATGCAGTCACCGCCCTTGTAAATCAGAGGGAGATTTGTCACTATGCAACTAGTTTGATACCAGGACAGTGGTCGACCCTGATATTGGTTTTTAGCAGAGAATGCGCACGACATTTCTATCGAAGAGATAGGCAAACTTACTACTTATCACGCCCATCCATACGAAATCTATTGCCTCATTCGCCTGTTTTCAGATTCCGCATCAAAAGAAGGAAAACACCATTGATTGCTACCCATCAAGCTATGCAGACCATAAATTGGACTCGAAGTATGACCAGCCAGATAAAATAGCACGAAACAAAAAGCCTTTCTTTAAACTTGTTGTCGACATGAATGACAGAACGGGACAGGCTACTGAAAGGCAACGTGCTGAAGTCTACAACGATATCAATGCTGGACATGGGAACCGCCTAAGGGTGCGACTCAGGCGGAAATGAATCGCATTCTCATGAAAAGCAAATGGTGCTTTTCGGACAACTTTGTACTGCCATCATTCCGTATCGAATCCATATCAGTGCCTTTTCTTACAGTGATTTCCGTAAGCGAAAAAAAGCTATCGTCGTAATCTAGTAGGATAGGAAAAAGCATTTTGACAACATTTATAACAAAATGCGATCATCGCTGAATAGGTAGGTCATGAAGACTTAGCACAAAAATACGAAATCATTGTTAAAGGGCATAAAATTTGTGGTGAATATGGCTCGATTTTGAGCTGAAGAAATTCGGAACGCACCACGAAAAAGTCGTTCGAGAAGGATAGTGAGAAAGCGCCACCAGCACAAAATCTTTGCACGAATGACTACAATGGCAAAAGAAGAGCACCACCACGGGTAGGTCATAGTGAATCACTCTTAAGCAAACCCCGCCAAGAGCTTTGTGGACATAAGACTCCATTAACATAAATGAACGAACGATGGTTTTTTATAATGATTAATAATATGTCCTGTAATCAACTAGCGTATAAAGAAAATATCTACTCCAACCTTTTTAGTTCCACAATGACCGCTCCAAAGTCTAAAATACCAACCGGAAAAAAAGCTATATCAATGCTCTCCCTCGAGTTCTAATCAAAAACATGAAAACAACGAACAACACACATAATTCTTCCAAGCGGAAAGTCACAAATTATAAGTCCTGCTAAACCACTCCACAACATTCAAAAAGTGGTAGCCTCTTACTAGTGGAAGAGTGGCGCATCCTGCGACGAAATCTTCAGGAATGGCAACTCGTAACTAGCGCCTTGTTTGTTTCACTTATTAATGTACTGTAAAAGCTCTTCAGAGAAGATATCCTGTCGCGAATATCAGGGTCGTTACATGAAACTCAACTCGTTGAAAAAGTAGGAACGCTAGATAGGAATTCTGCTTTATGGGTTACATCAAAACTGTAACCCAGAAAATAGAAGTTTTTCCGTAGCAATCTATACTCAACCGACAAAAGAACTGTATCCAATATTCTCGCAACTATAGAGTTTTCTCATCGTAACTTTAGCACTGGCCTACGAAAAAGAGCGATGTTTTCTTGCCAATCAATATTCTTCCTTAGTGCAGTGGATAATGAAGTCGCTCGATTTGAACGAAAAGGACATAAGCAATGATGTGGTACAGCTCCAATAAAATATGAAAGACATAAACCGAGAAAAAAAACCTTCTTTAAGGAAAACCTATGGACCAACAGGAAGAAATAGTGATGGATAAGTTCTGGACAACAGAGATCGTACCCGACACGTACATGCGACGGTGGGATGTTCGAAGAATGTGATAAGCATGGCAAGGAATACACAGAGCGGTAAAAGCTAAGCACTGGCCTTTAGGAAAAGCCAGTGAACCCTTAATGGACCTAAATGTCTGCACTCTCTTGTTTGATTCAACGGCTATGTATATGAGACATGGCTTAGGTCCAAACCCTAAACAGAATTTTACAAAAGTCACTCGAATGGTTTCACCGTAAATATACCCGAAGTACACAAAATCAAGACGAATTCTGCGGTCCCGACTATCGAGAAGTTTCTTATAATTGAGATTCAGTATGAATACAAGTAGAACACGAAACAAAGGCAGAACGATAACATGATATGAAACACTGGAGATAAGTGCACAAGAAGAAGGGTAGAAAAATTTACAAGACGCAAATATCCACACTAGTAATCATCTATTGAATAGCTTAACAGGTTTGCATCCCACGTCAGTCAGGTAAAAACCATTATCACGATTGCAAAGACCGAAATAGCGTTCAGTGGAGATAGAGCCATGAAGCTGTGCCATTTAAGTCTCCAATTAAGCACAAAAACGCAATAAACTCGTCTAGACAGTTTTACGACACCTTAATTAATGGAAACTTTAACCTGCGATTTGTCATCTTCGACACAAGCTTCCACTTATCTAGCACTGGATCGTAGCGTTCACAGGAATCGAGAGACGATGAGCCATCATTGCCGCCAACAGCAAACAAGAATTTTCCTGAACTTACGACGACATATCGATGAAACTGACAGGACATTATGATTGAAGAACAGAAAAAAAAACTATGGATCGATTATAACTCTACCAAGTGCACTGACACCAACTCCACCACGACGAACATTCATCTGTGCGACTTCCGACCATGTGTTCGATTCGATATCGTATCGTTCGACCGTCTATAAGCTTATACATGAACTACAATTTTAAGCTAACATTACCTGCATAAGCAAAACAAACTAGACCGAACACACTCCATCACTACTCTAATCAAGCAAGAAAAAGGGAACTAAAGGAAACGCTAGCTATACCTAAGGGCAATCACACCGACATAAAATTTTCCCGGACCGAACATATTTCATCACTACTCTAATCAAGCAACAAAAAGGGAACTAAAGGATGCACTAGTTATAACTAAGGGTAATCACCCCGACATAAATTTCTTCCAGTTATTCACAACAAAAGAACTGAAACTGACTAAAACGTTGTAGGTTTGCTTAAAGTTACTTCACTGATTACTCACACTAAAACAAGTAGTGTCGTCAAGCCCTCCAACGGCGTAAATTGCACCGTCGAGGGACGCAGCAGCGATTCCACGACGACATGTGTGCATTGGAGCTATTCGACACCAACCAACACTTTGCTTGGGATCGAACATTTCTGCAGACGCCAAGTGCTGCATACCGTCATGACCACCAATTGCAAAACTAAAACCAACGACCGTATCGTATTTTACCAATTCAAAACTTACTTGGATACTTAGATGCAGCGCTCTCACTGGTTGCGCATGCACCATCACAGCTTCCATTGATCTGGAGTTTTGCTGGGTTAGCCATCCTGATGGCTTCCATTAGCTGGGTTTCTTAATAAAAACGCCAAGCTCTTTCTTAATAAGGGAGGCCTTGCTGGTGAAATGAATGGATTCCCACGCTGTAAATCGCAGACCGATATCCAGGAACACCTAGTACCAATGAGGCGGCAAACCATTGGTTTTAACCAATGCATAAAATTTGTATTTAAATGAGCTTAGTAGAAACCGCATCATTCACACGAAATAAAGATTGGGATAGAGATGGGATAGAAGAAAAATCTTCTACGTACCACGGTGACTATTCTACAAAAACTAAAAACCGTAAGTGCCTAGGCGAACTTCATATTGCCAGCTTATACATCATAAAAGCAACGACTAATCAAGACTGAACTGTTCACGCAATCTATTCAGAGACTTTGTGTTAAGCTCACTCCCAACTCATCCATGAGTTTGTTTGTATCTACTTCTCCGTGAACCTACCAATGGCTTACCGCCTCATCGCGCTTGGAGGTGTTCCTGGGTATCCAACTGTGTACAGCGGGGGAATTCATTTCTCCAGCAGGGTTTCCCAAGCTGAAGAGACCGGGAAGCCCAGCTAAGAGTAAACCAATACCAGAATCCACCACCGTCAATCCACAATCCACTGTTATCAAACTAGTCGCATGGTGGCAAATCTCACTCTCATCCACAAGAGCGGCAAGTGCTTGTGGTGGTGACGACGCGGGGCAAACTTTGGCCAGGTTGACGTCGGGACTCAAGAGAACCATAATGGCTAGACCAGCAAAACTCCGAAAAAACGGAAATTATTCTGAGGCCTGTACAAACAGTGAGGACGGGCAATCTGAGTATCCAAGTGAGTAAGCATTCTCCGTGAAAGATGCTCTATTTACCCACTGTAAAGAATAATTATCCAAAACACTTACAGTTTACCCCAAGCACTCACAACTCCGACATGCCTTCGTTGCTGAGTCATTTCGCATATAGAAATCCATCGATTCAGTCGACAGTCAAATGCCTCCACAGATCGGAACGGATCACCACCGGTACCTTAAGCCACCGTATGTGCACATATTTATAAATATATCATGTAATATGTTGAAATATCATTCAGATCACTAGTACAAACAACGTTTGTAATAAAAACCAAGAACCACATATTTCGTCGAAGGGCTACTTTTCGATGTTGAAAATAAATCAAGATATCGTAACATTTCCTGCTGGTTTGACAGAGCATCGATTTTTAGAGGTGATGTTATAACCATAACCCACCACGACCACCAGCGCAGAAGATCACGCCAGCCACACTTTTCCTCGGACGACAACGAAGTGCTTGCGATGACGGTGTCAGGGGTCGCGAAATCAACTAAAAAGTGTAATTGTGTGGCACCGGTAGATAGAAAATTAGAGAGATAAAGGTGAAACGAAGCGAAGGCATGATGTGGTGGCGAACGCGTTAGCCCCCGAAAGAGTAATAGCCTGTTCAATCCCCACTGCAGACACCAACTGCCCGGAGTTTTGTGATTATCTCAGCATCAATGTGGCTGTATTTCACATCATACCGTGTCATGAAAAAAAGAATAAGCAGTAAATAAAAAGTCCATAATAAAATGTCATCGTCAACCAAGACATAAAAGTGCTTGTTTATTATCGTAACCTTTCATGAGAGATAAAAATAAAACCATGTAGTTATGTAACACACCGATGTTGAGCCAGCGGCATACTGACTACCGCCTTCTTCGTTGGTCGTAGTACCAACTGGTAATGGAATGCCTTTCAACGGTAACAGCATAATGAACATCGCTTCCGACACGAGCTCTGCGCATTCACGCGATTCCTGGAGTCAATAGAAGCATAACATATCAAAGTCTCGCATTCTCTCACAACTATGGACGAACACACCTTGACCATATTGTTTTGACGTACATTTTCTAAAAGATAGTGCATATTTAGCTGCGGAAGGCGCACAAGAGACAAAAGTTCAGGCAAATGGTGTTTACGTTCGCTAGGATTCGCTTCTATCCATTCCATCACTGTTTCGAATACCTAAACTCTGTTAACTGACCTCATTCGACTGCTTAACATTCTATGAAGAAAATCGAATTTTCACTTTTTGATGAACTTTTAAGCTCGTATATATATTGCAAACGTAGGAGAATGTTAGAAAAACATCTGATCGAAACCTACTGGTCGCAAAAACTTATCACAATCAACAAAACCACTCATATACATCTACTATTTCAAGAAGGGCAATCAAGAAAATCAGTCACGACATCTACTCCGATCCTCTCAAAAGCAATGTCTAAGTACATTCCAGAGGAACGGAGGAATGATAAATTTTGTTCCAGTGGTCCAACCTTCCGAAATCCGACACCCTGTTGGTGAAAAATCGTACTTAGCTCATGACAGAATTTTTTCTTAACATCTGGAAGGCCTAAAGGTAGTCCACCTCACTATTACACTGATTAATCATACGTTATATCAGAATGGAAGGTTCCGAATCAATGGAAAACCAACAGGTCCATATTTTTGCGAGACCATATAACAATATCTTTCACCACCGCTCAATCTTCTTTTTCTCTGTCATCTACGAGCTTTTCAGTCAAATCATACTCAACAGGACTGAAAGAGCAGTGGACAAAAGATAAGGGTACGTGAAACGATGGTTTCTAACGTATTAAGTTTACTACAACGGATCACATCCAAGCGATAATAGAAGTGCCCATGGATACTTGGATACTTGGGCGGCCCTTCCTCACAGTTTGTGCAGGGCCCAGCATATGCTCCATTTTTCGAAGTTTTGCTGGTTTAGTCACTGTGCTTCCCTGGAGTCCCGAGGTCGGCCTGGGAAGCGCCCATAAGAGATGAGAAAAACAGGGTTTTCAAAAAGTCACCGGTAGAATTCCAATAAACAACGTTCACCAGAAAACGATTTGTTTCCGATTCCACATCCATACTTAGAGGGATGTATACTTCCAAGTGGTTAAGTTATACGTATCCGATAAAAGTCAACATGAAGGAAGTGTGATGCAGGGTGATGTAAAAAATGTTCGGTTCCACATTTTTTTCACACAACGAAAGATTCCACTTTCATCTACGTTGAAGATGAAGAACAATGACATTGTAATACACGTCAAAATGCCGAAAACGAGGTTTGCCGAACACATGTTGCGACCGAGTGATAACTAGTAACTCCGCTGACAACAAGGTTCAACGAGTATCAAATGCAAAGCAGGAAAAGCACCAAACCGATGCTCAACCTGCTTCATAGAGCTTCTGTAAAAAAAAATATGCTGACATTCGAGACAATAGAAAGCGGAGCCCACTTAGTCACTCATACTGGGTAGGGAACTTTATAGACACTCACTCCATTCACTCCGCGATTGACCGTAAGATATAAGTAAATAATTCAAGACACGATACCTGTTCTTCACATGTGATTTTCAAGTCACTTCTCCTTATTAGATCTCGTAGATGAGGAAAGGCGATTTCCTTGAATTCATCGAGCTGTCGCAATTCCTTAACAATCGAAAAGTTAGAGAAGTTAACAACATCTACAACTCGGCGCGAATCCCGCTGACGTCTAAAATCTTTGCAGGAATCGCTGTAATTTGAGATCAATTGGTCTCGATAGGACCTATTACACCACAGCAAATAAAAACGCCTCTCTGTTGCACTTTTAGCTCTACAATTCGACTTTCCTATGCATTTTCATTTCGGTTTTACCAGACTCCCTGTTTCTTTGGGTCGAGAGAGCAAATACCGACACTGAGTAGCACAGGCACGGCTTTTGTCCTACTTTCCTTCCATGCCGGACCAACCACGGCTCAATTCGAGCAATCCCTAATTTGGTTCATGAGGCACATAAAATTTCAAGTGGCAACAGACCGCACACACAAACCAGAAGATATCTGTGAGTGAAGTATGCAAGACAACGAACTGAATGAAGTGCTGGAGTCAGCAAGATATGTGAAGTTGGGTTGTGTAAATAAATATGAATATGATAGGGCGAGGCTCTGAAGAAGGCGAAACCGCCGAAACGTCAGCAATTGTGTTCTAATAAATTCTATATTAACAACCTCGTGTCTGCTTATTGATGAAAAACATTGAATTATGAATATGATAGTTATTTCATATTTTTCGTTTCTCACGTACACTCGAGATTCTTCTATGAACGTACTACCAAGGCTTCTGACAGATTTCCAACTTGAGCATTCAACTGAAAACAAACTCATCCACCGTCGAACCACTGTATCATCAGCGTTCCGTATTCCCCTTTTACAATATGTATTGAGTATGATTCAACACTGAAATATTCCTTATACACACATTACATGTTTTCGGGAATATCATCGATAAATATTTAACTGGATTCGCACTGCACATAAAGCCACTGTCTTCCTGGAGAAGTTATTGTCGTTGTTCTTTTTCTAGGTCGCTCTCTTTTGCTTACTTCTCGGTGTCACGTAAATTTATTCTGACCTAAATGGTCATATACGGTCAGATGTTAAAGTAGAAAAAATTTTCCTGCTCACCAAGCAAACACCGATTCACTGTCGTCAGATTCTTGGCGAGCAGGAGTAGTGTGAGGAAAAAGAACTCAGAAGTGAGTAATCAAACTACTCGATACTTTATGACTGCTGAATCCAGGACAATCAAGAGTAGATTTACAGTGCTTGAATGAAAATACGGAACTGACAGATTTTTATTAATTGTGGTAGACATCTAAAAAATTTGGAAAAAGGACCGCTTATGAAACATTCAATTACTAAAGAGATGAAAAAAATTTACTGGTCAATACCATCCGTTAAACCGCCACAGTTGAGATACTATTTAATTCCAGTCGAGCTCATAGATACAGTCCTATCGGTCTCAATTTATAACAAAAGCTAGGTTTAGAAATCTATTAGCTCATCTTCATTTCGTAGATAACGCAACCGTGATGGAAAAAACAAGTTAAATGGATTCACGTCATTTACTAATGGCGCGTGTAACGTAGTGATCGGAGGAACCCAGAAATACACATGGGATGGATCCATGCGCTCCAGGCTCATCAAGCCCTCCACTCCTTCGAGGTCGGTGAATTGGTACCTCACTTGTCTGGAAGGATAGCAGCACTAGTTCGATACATCCGGACGCCTTCGAGAGTTATTGCAAAGGCCAGATATGCATTCGGTCACCTCCAACGACTACGGGCTACAATAATAGTAGATATGTAAAACGTATAAATTGTCAGGTTCTAGGTTTGTAGGTTTGTTAAGACTTTTTACAGTACATAACAGCGAAAATTGTAAAACTGCAAATTGCAAATAAGATCTACTTGGCCGAAACGTCTCTAACAACTTGAAATTAGACACATTGTGTGAAATCACGTTGATTGTTAACCTGCTAATAGATAGTAATTTTATTGACACAGATCTACAGCTACAACCCACATACATCCTTACGAGCGGAAGAAAAACAAACTGAGTTTAGCGCCAGCTGATCTGCACCCTTCCAAGTTTAAGTACAAGCCTGCTCATATCTATCTGTAAGGGTTAAATAGCAGAAATAGCATAGCCGGTGAAGGTTTTCACCATGGTTAACCAATACGATTTGGTTTCTGGTTTAAGAATAAGGATGAAAGAATATTTCGACCAGTAAATCAAAAAATGCACCCAAAAACGCATAGAGAACGAAAAACGCTACAAAGTACCCCACTTGGGACACGTAGGATACAAAAGCACAGCGGTAACCACTTTGAAATAAAAAAAACTCGTACAGGATGCTCAAACATCAGCGAGCAAACTTCTTGAGGTTTTTTGGATAAATGCTGAGGATCTTAGAATGAATAGCGAGGAAGAGCGCCCACAGATCAAACGTAATCTCCTCCCATACCCCCGCATCGACTTTTGATGTGGGGTGGTATGATGTTTTGATATCGACCATATGCGACTCTGATCAGCTGTTCTTCGTCAGTGGAAGGCGCGTAGAAAGCTGTGGATTTTTCGAGAAGCTGTTGATCGTGTGTTTGCCATTTAGATTTTTATCTTTCTGTTTGTGTTATTAAAGTGTTTCACGTAGTAAATTGCATATCAATATACCCTTCCAGGCTCTGAAGAAGGCGACTCTGCCAAAACGTCAGCTTTAACGGGAAAAAGAATAAAGTAAGACCTTGTGTTTGCTCAACAAGAATATCGGGAACTATTTCATCAATGCCGAGGTTAATAAAAAGTCGGCAGCGGGAATTACAAAAAACGGTATTGAACAATGAAACAAAAAAAATTTTCGGTAAAACCTACAATGAAGTGATCGACCGCATAGTCATCAGAGCTGTTGAGCAGATCTACGCAATTGTGCTGCTCAGCGAACTGCCTGATGAGAAGACAGTTCTTCGTCGTCAGTAACTGCGTCATGAACCGCTGACAAGCATAACAGACAGATTCCACCTAAATGCATTAAACTTAAAACGCAAAAGCTGAGTTATCCAAGCACTCTAGCGTCACAAGAGATTTCCGAGTGTTTTTAAAAAGCATCACACATTTAGAAAGTGCATGTAAAGGCACGACACAGAATGTGCATTGGTTTCACACTATTCACACTATTCACCCTTGCAATTACTTCTTATCTCGTGTGGAATATTTTTTGGCAAAAATTTTAGATTTAACTGATATCCTCTAATAGCTCTACACCACCGAAGTTACGACAGATGTGGTCCTAGAAGGACTATATTCTACAGTCAGCAATTTACAAAAAAAAACAGACTTCGCAAATGTGTCAAAGTAATATTTTACAGATGCTGTAGAATTGAACTGGTGAAGCCCTTGTTGTTTTATTATATTGCTTCATTTATTTGTTTTATACTAGCATAATATTTTGTTCTGTCATACTACATTACGATGTATTCAAAGGAAATATGAGCATCTGAGGAAATCTGAGGAAAATAACCCTCGAAATACCACGAAATAAAAGAAGACTTTCTTCAGAACAGAATGACCATATGATATATTTCAAGCTAAAGTCGCAGCGGTTAGTACCTTTCAAGCTACTAGAAAAATATGTCTTGATAGATTTCTCTCTTGCATTTGCTTCCAATGAATAATAGGAAGTAAACATATAATTTCCAAAAATCGTAATTCTGGTCTGCTTAACTCACTTGCAGAATGGACGCGGCAAACAACAGATTCTGCACGTTATCACTACTTATTGTAATTTCATTTGTGTAGACGAAATTCACCAAAGCATCCAAGGCCTCAAACGAGATATCCTAAAATGATCTAAAATCAGGCCCTAATATACAGTTCCTCAGTGGTCATGAAGCAAGCCTTAATATGTTGCACAGTTAAGGAAGGAGAGTTCATTAGAAAAAAAACCTTAGAGTAAAAGAAAACACCTTTGAATCAACATATGGATGAGCTTGATAACACTGACAAGGAAATGACTCCTGTTTTGTTGTTACATTAAGGCACCAGATATATATGAGACTACTTAGGTGTAGATTACCATGTTGTATTTTCTCCTCCACGGGAATAATTCAAACTTGAAGATTTATCACTGACGTTTAGAAAACAAGTTCAATTCGGTTTCTACATCGTCCTTGAGCGGCTGGTTACTTTTTGCATTCCTACTTTCGTTTCTGATTTCGGTTTTAACATCTCTCCGAAACAACTAGTAGGAAGTCCGAGCGAAGGACTCGTCGCCGAAAACACACCTCCCTCTGATCCGCATCTTGGCGACCTGGATACACCCTTGCAAGGTTAGGTCAGGACTCCAGGGAGGTCCGAAGTTGCACGACCAGCAATAGGCCAACTTCAGTACCCTGCACACTGCGTGCACCCGTCTATGACGTCAGGTGGAGAGACGACCGGTGAGAGGCCAGAAAATCTCGGGTTACGCAGGACGTCACTGGAACAGAATCTGACGAACACACGTACGACATGCCAAGGAGATTGTTTCTTACTAAACACGCAT